AGGTTTTTCCATTGTCCTGTATCTTAGATTATTAGGTCTTAGGTGTGTGTTTGAAACCAATTAGCATCGTCATTTATGTATGATATGAAATTGTGTGCAAGCTGCAACAGTGAGTTATTTTTATTCGGTTCACATTTCGTGTTTATTTAGGCGCTTGGGTCTTGGTGACATGAACATATGGAAAGCAATGTTGGCATCCCAGATATCATTAGGATGGGGTCTGGAGGAAGTTAGTGGGTGCTAGTATGCTGCGATTTGCATTTTGTAAATGGTTTGTATCAATACCAAGTCTTATAACTACAGATATATATATAAAAAATAAAAAAAAAATAAAAAAAAAAGCACTATATACTCTCAATCTTAAATCATAAAGCACTATATGTTTCATTGAACTTTTTCTAGAATCAGGCCTTATCCATCATTTTTTCCTTTAACTATTATGAATAAAGTATTTGGTCTCAAGTCTCTGTTACTTGTTGATGTTATCTTTATTTCTATTGTCGATTTCTTGGTTAGGTTTCCTACTCTAAGCTTTAGCTTGGTTTATTAGGTCTATGAACAAGTTCCGTCAAGTCTATGGGTATCCTCATTGTGTTCTGTACACTTTCCATAATGTTTTATACAAAGTATAACATTTGAGTGAAGGGTAATTCCTTTAATATCAGACCCATTCTGACCTTTAGAAGCCCATTAAACTCTTATGGTCACACTCATGAGGTACTATTGGCGGCTGGTGAATCTCGACAAAAACAAGACAGTAGCTTCTTCATGTCATTTTATGGTCCCAAGTAGTAGATGATCGCAGGATCCAACATTATAATATGAAAATACCCATGTTCAAGAATCTCTTTCCAATGTATGTGGGAATTCTTAAGCTAGTGAAAGGGAAGAGCTTCTAAGTTCTAACTTCTAGGCTAGCTCTAGTGACCTTAGTCACCATTTAAACCATATTTGATGTAGGACCAAAGTCGCCATAGCCACTGAACTTGAAATATATGACTCAAATCTGTGAAAATTTTCTAATAATCTGTTGAAACTCAAAAAGAAATTTGAGGAGATAGCTTTCTTCAACTGTCATAAGGACTCTGGAAGAGATGACACAATTTGTATCAATGACCCCAACCAATAAATGTCTATATTATAATCATGTTTTGGGAACTTGTTTGGCATATTCATGGAGGCTTTTCAGCTGTTGTTAACTGAGAGTTTGTAATTTTTGAGTTCCATATTAATATCTGAACCTAAGCCTAAAATTGTTGGCAAGAACCTAATTTTGAAAACTATAACTTATTCCTGTGACACTCTTTAATTCATTTGTTTAGAGCTCGCCAAACAAGCAGAGTGAGACCTCTCTAGGTGCTTGTCTACAGCTCCACAATCTTGTTCATCAAACTAATAATACTATAGTAGCATTGTCCCCAACAACAATTTTGGTTGACAAGCTAAGCCTATTTATTATGGCCTAGTCTGGAAGGATGGGTTATGTCAATGCAATAACTCAAAAAAATTAATGCAAAAATTATCTCTTGTTTTTGTCTTGACACTCCTTTTTGCGCAAAGGCACGTACTATAATGTTTTCTTTAGTGTTACATTCATTCAATCAACCAATCAAAGCCTTAATCCCATAAGAGGGGTCGGCTACATGAACCAAAACTGTAGTCATCCACAAAAATCTTCTTCCTTCATCCCTTACGATCAAATACCTCATTCTCATGCAAATCCATATGCTTCGTATCCTTCCTAACTCCTTCCAACCAAGTCATGATACTTATCAGGAATTTCATCCATCCATTTTCTTATACACTAATTATTGTTCTCTTTCCATTTTAGATTTCTCAATTTTAACGTTTCATCATCTAATGCCTAATGCAAGTTAATGCATTATGTTGCTGCTCTTTAAAATGAGCATTCAGAAAATTCATGATGGTTTGGTTCTTTTACATATTGGTCTTGATTGCTATATATGCTTCACTGAAGTAGGATGCAATTTAGCTGTAATTTGTGATACTTTGGTTTTGTGGTCTGGAATATGATGCCATAAAAATGAATGTAAATCATTTTGTCTTCCTCCTGTGATTTTGACATACTCCATAATGGAAAGTTTCTCATGTATGAGACATGTGAATATATGATCCAAATTGTTATTTCACTGTTTGGTGAGGATGTCTGGCTTCGAGGCTTCAAGCTGCTAGAATTAGGCCCTCGTCTTTCTGGGTGTTTACTTGGGCGATAATTTGTGAATGTGATGGATCTCCTACGAACATTTATTGCTTATGTTGGAAGAATTTTCTTACATCTTCCAAATTATAAATCTGGAATGTATTACTGGTCACTGTACTCCTTGTGCTATGTTCAACAGTTCAAACACAAATATTCTAAGGAGCAGCAGCATTGAATCTGCCCCTGCTTCAAAAAGATAGGCAATACAGTTCTGATTGATTGATTATTCTTTGATGTTGCCCCTTTCTCTTGTTAGACAATTCTTATATTTTGTTGGGATGGGAGGTATCCTGTGATGGAGGTTGCTTATGGACTCAAATTGAAAACCTGCAGTTTAAAATGTTATTTGTTCATTTCACTTTGGCATGCTGAATTATTGTCCCTAGGTTTTTTTTTTTTTTTTTTTCAATCGATTATCTTGTTATTTTCTTGTTCCTTTTCGGATGGTTCCTTGTGAAGTTGGCCGACCCTACATCAGTTTGGGACTAAGGCGTTGTTGTTGGGGGAGGGGATGTAAGTGTGGGTGTGGGTGGTGGTGGTTGTGGGGGAGTTCAAGTTATGTTGATATGAATTGTGTGATTCATCTACCCACACGTCCCACAGGGATGATTGTAGATGTTGCATTTATAAGAGCCAGTCAGAATTGTTGGACTTGATTTGACTAATTTTGCTTGACTTGAGTTGTGTTTGATCCTTTGCAAGCGTCTCTTGATTTTTTTCTTTAAACCCATTATCAACAGGTATTGGCTTTCAGTTGGAGCACAACCATCAGATCCAGTTCAGCGAGTTCTGTTTAGAGCCGGGTTGCTCCCTCCTCCACCAATGATGGCCTGGGGACGCAAAGGTGGGCCACGTGATACCCGTTTTGTTGATCCCATGACTGGACGTGTTTTGACTCCAGGAAAGCCTAGCAGCTCAGAGGATTCTGAGAATCCCAACATCAAAGATGCAGAAATAATAGATACCCCAACCACTTCATGATGCATTTTCTCATAGGTTTTTAGATTTTAAAGCAGACAACCCTTTTCTGCAGTTTGTAGTACAAGTTTATGCATATTTACGATATACAAAGTACTTGGATTAAAATTACACTGTTTGGAACCATTGTGTGTTTGGAGGATTCCTGTCAATGCCTCCTCTTTTTGGTTGTAAACTTGTCAAAAGAAGGTTGATCATTGATGTTGAATAAGTATTTCTATTGGTTGGCAATTCCTGTCCGATATAGTCAATATCGTTAAAGGTCTCATTGCACCCTGAAGAGTCTCTTCAGATAAATCTGTTAGAATTGGACGATCTAGGAACAGTGAATGTTTTGTTCCTAATTTCATTTCCTGCAAAAAAATCTCCCTTTCATTTATTGTTCTTGTGAAGCAGACAATGACCTCTGAAAAAGCATAAAATTTGTAGCAGAAACACAATAATTTCAGGGGCAAGCACAAAGATTTATCAAACCTATTCTTGATTTGCCCGCCTGGAGTTTCATGGGAGATTTACAATGATTTAACAGCAAGCACAATATTTAATCATGGCCTTATGGGCCAGTTACGTCCTTTTCTTGTTTCCCTCCAAGGCCCCAAGTCACACAACATGGGGTAGAGTTAGTTCAATATCTCCTAAACCACTTCTCTCCCTAGATACGTCCCCATAGATTATACTACGGCGTAATATTCTACGCTACCTTAAGAAGTTTATAGGCACGTAGCGTATGAGATAAATCTAAACGTTCAATAGGACTTTGATAAAAACTCATTATAGGCACGTAGCGTATGAGGTAAATCTAAACGCTTATGATTAATTAAATATTAAATCAAATACTCCATGTAAAATGGGGAAGAAAATGCAACTATTTCCTTGTCAATAAATAGATGAAAAATTTATTCTTCGACAATAAAAGAAATTGACATAATTTATGGTTTGAAAGAAGCATATAGAGCAGAGATCTTCAATTTCCACCTACTCTATCAAAGTAAGAGAATTGTTTGTAAAGATCCGTATGGGACTAATGGCAACTATTGGCTATTAAAGCTTCCTGTATAGTTCTTTGAGAATTAAGAGGTTAGATTCATTTTTCATTAAACTAATTGCCAAATACAATTCAATACTCCAAATTTAGACAAACTTCTTTAGGCTTTACCAAGCAAGGACATCACCAATAGTTACATACAAAAAAATGTAGTTATCATTGTATAAAGGTAATTCTTCTATAATTTTAATGCTACATTATGCTCCATACCTTTTACAATAGGAAATGAAACGAGCACGAATCAATCAACCATATCATCAGCATCAAAAGAACTCATTTTAACCGTGCATAGAAGTCATCTAAAGATTTTGTCATCACGCGGTAAATACGTTTAAAACCGCAATTTAAACCATGTATCATGACAATAATGCTCACCATATAAGACCGTCTTCTTAATTGGAATATCGCAATTAAAATCAAGGAATGTAATGAACAAGTTGCATTGTATTCCTATTAAGAAGTTTGAACATCATCAATGCCAGCTAAAATCTCTGAATTATCTGCCACAATCATACTCTCGTACCATCAAAAAAATTCAAACCAATTACTTCACAGCTCATAGTCTCATACCAACAACTTGTAAAATTATAGGGAAAAAAAAAAACCCAAAAAAGTATTTGGATTCGGCGGGAAAAAGCCCAAAATCCCAACCACGTAACCATTATTAAAATAAAATAAAAACTAAAAAAACTTCATTTTTTATAAAAAGTACCGTATTTATTTAAGTGGGTCCCATTTCCCATCCCTTTTTTCTCTCACATAAATACAGTCTTTGAACCCCTACTCTTTCTCTCTCTTCCGCTCGAAAATTAGGGTTTTTGAGCTTGCGAAACCCAGAACTTTATCCCTTTCTTTCTCACTCCTCTAAAATGGCTAACAACGATATCAACATGTCCACCATCGCCGCCGGTATGTTCTTCGTTAAACCCTAATTCTTTATTTTTTCGTCTTCAATTTTTTATTTTTTTATGATTTTTCTGTTCTTCAATGTTTTTGATTTTTGTTTTTTGATTTTTTTACTGTAGCTCTTAATTCAGCGGATAAATCAGCAATTCTTAACGCTCTTAAGGTTATTCAGTCAGTTTTCATTTTGTTTATTCAACTTTGTTTAATTTTAAGGTTTTTTTTCTTTTTTTGTGGACTTTTGAAATCTTTTAGGGTTTAAGCTTTTTTTCTTTTTATTTTTTATTTTTTTATTTTTTTCCAGGCTGCTAAGGCTGAGAATGAATCAATTCTTGAGAAGTTACCGCCTAATGTTCAGAAGCGTGTAGAGGTTCTGAGGCAGATTCAGGTACTTGATATTCCGTTATTTTTTTTGTTTAAATTTGAATTAATTATTTGTATTTATTTATTTATTATTTTTTTTTTTGAGGAATGGAAATTATTATTAGTATTATTACTATAATAATGGTTTTTATGCAAATGTGATGATTTTGCCTGATATATACCAAATTCGATGTAGCAGCGTTAGAAAAATTTAGTCCTGTTTTTTTTTTGTTGTTTTTTTTTTTTTCAAAAAAAAAAGGGTTTAAGTTTGCCCTGTCTGAGCACGGGTAGGAAGAATGGCTGGTAGACTTAGGGTGACCGTGGTAGACGTAGTACGCATTTGATTGATATTCGGTTTAAAACACACTTATTTTTTTCGTATAACAATAGCTTAATCGATGCCTGATTAAACAGTAGTACTCGATTATACTTTTTACTCTTGCGGATAGTAATTGGTCAGTTACGAGGGTTTTGTTTGCAAAATCTGGTTTGAGAAATTAATGGTATGTTTCCAGTTTTTTGTTTAATGTCCTTCTATAGACATTCCCGTTGTTTAGGAATGTGAAGCTTTCTTGATAAGATAATAAATGAAATTTGCTTCCCACGTGTTAACGTCATTATTCATAAATGTTTGTAAACACTAGCTTGGTAAGAAATTCTTCAATAAGAAGTTTATCCCGAATACTCACTTTTAATGTTTGGTGGTTGTTCCTGAAAAGTAAAATTCCAATATGAAGCTCTACAATTTATTAATATGACAGATATTGGTACAAGTTTAATAAGTCTTGTTGTTAAGTAGCTGCCCCAATTAAATGAATGCTAAAATTATCCTTACCGTTTTTATTGACAGAGTGACCATGATGAACTTGAGGCAAAGTTCTTCGAGGAGAGAAGAGCACTTGAAGATAAATACCAGAAATTATACCAACCACTCTACACCAAGGTATGCTAACTATGATACTTCTTGATCTAAATTTACTCTATAGTCTTAAAATTACTACTGCTGAAAGTATCGTTAACTACTTTCTTATAAGGATATTTATGAACGTGATGTTGAATAAGTTCTTGTATCCTCATCAAGTAGTGTTGTTGTACTCAATTATGCATATTTAACCACAATATGTGGAATTGTGGAGATTTGAACTATGGATGCCCAAATTTTTTTTTGTGCGCCATTACCTTTGGAGCTATTGAATTTTGAAAGCTATATTTATTGAATGTTAGGAAAACTTAATTTGCTTAATTTACATCAGTATTTAAAGACCAGTTGTTAAGTACCTTAATCAACATTGGTGTACTTTTGCAGAGATATGAAATTGTTAACGGTGTTGTTGAAGTTGAAGGAGTTGTTAGTGAACCAGCAACAGAAGAAGCTGATAAAGCTGCTGAAGGTACTTAATTGAAATTCACTATTATGTATATATTTGAAGTTAGAAATGTTTCATGCTTTGCTTCTTGTTTCATGTTTTGTTTCTTGTTTAATTCAGAGAAAGGAGTGCCTAATTTCTGGGTCACTGCAATGAAGACTAATGAAGTGCTGGCTGAATCAGTTAGTACCTTATGATGTCAGCTTTATTTACTACTTGTCCTCTACTTTTGCTGCTTTTTACTTATTTATTTTTCTATATGACTATAGATCCAGGAGCGTGATGAAGAGGCTCTCAAATATCTTAAAGATATAAAATGGTCTAGGGTTGAATTGCCCAAGGATGATGCTCAAAAGGGTGAAGCCTCAAAGGGATTCAAGCTTGAATTTTTCTTTGATCCTAATCCTTTTTTTACAAATTCTGTTTTGACAAAGACATACTACATGATTGATGAAGATGAACCTATTTTGGAGAAAGCCATCGGGTATGTAGCTTCTTTGCTTTGTTCACTGCTTTCAATGATTTGTTATCTTTACTTCAAGATTACTGATGGCAATTGATACATTTAGGACGGTGATAGAGTGGTGCCCAGGAAAATGCCTGACTCAGAAGATTTTGAAGAAGAAGCCAAAGAAGGGTTCTAAGAATTCCAAGCCCATCACAAAAACCGAAGCTGTTGATAGCTTTTTCAATTTCTTTAGCCCCCCTGATGTCCCAGAGGATGAGGAGGAGATTGACGAGGATGCTGTGAGTTGTGCTTCACTGTGTTAAATAGTTTGACTTGTTGAAGCTCTTTACTTGGTGCATTTGATTTGAATTTTACCTTTTTTTTACAGGCTGATGAGCTACAGGCCCTTATGGAACAAGATTATGATGTTGGGTAAGCTCATGATCTCCTTTCTTTTACAGCTCACCTGATGTCATGTTGTTGGCTTAGTTACATTCAAAAACACAAAGTATATGAGTTCAATTTGATTTCTCACACCACATTCTTAAATGATATTTATGAAATGGTTATTATTGTGTGACTTCATCCTCGTATATAAGTTGAATAAGACTTTCATTTTATTGTCTACAGGTCAACAATTCGTGACAAAATCATTCCCCATGCTGTTTCATGGTTTACTGGGGAAGCTGCACAGGATGATGACTTTGTGCTAGGTGAGGACGATGATATTGATGAAGATGACGAGGATGAAGATGAAGATGAGGACGAAGATGAGGATGAAGATGACGAAGATGAGGATGATGATGAGGAAGATGACAAACCCAGCCACCAGAAGAAGGTAATAGGCAACTAAAAGAGATTTCTTTTCTCTTGCTAAATATAACTTAACTAGGACTTTACAGTTTGCTTCTTTCTTGTCATTGTATTTCTGTGTTTCTTCTGTACTTGCCATATATTTCTACCTCTAAGTTTCTTCTGCAGTGATTACTATTTTTTGGGCTTCAATTGCATTGATGTACTTATATTTGCTTGTCTTGTTTTCCCAAACTACTTCCTCAACTCGTCAATGGCACCTCCCCTTTTCACGATAAGGGGATAGTAGAAGATATATAAGGAAAGCTGAAGATATTGTGCATTTGATTAACAGTAAATTGTTGGGCTTTTTTTGCAGAGAGGCGCAAAGGCATCAGGAGTTGCCCAGCAGTCTGGTGAAAGGCCACCAGAGTGCAAGCAACAGTGATTTTATTGTGGGGTGTGTTGATTGGTGATGTCAATGGGGAAGAGCAGCAAAATTTTGGATTTATCTTTTTTTTATTTTCCTTCATTTGTTATTAAGATTATCGAAGGATGCCCATACAGTTGTAGTTTCTAGTCGTTTCTATTTTTATTTTCATGGATGAGACAATCTGAGTATTAGTTCGCAAAATGGTGTGTAATAGGGAATTTGTCAAAACAAATATCTATATATCTTATATTGGTGAAGCATTTGCTCTACCGAGATTTTGTTTAAGAAACTGTCCTGGGCAACTTTGATATGGAGTTATGTGCTCAGTGATTCGGTGAATACAGTTGATAATAGCAAACTTATTTGATAGGGAGTAATTTTTTTTAATAATGTTTTTCAATACATAAATTTAATTATAAATATATTATTATCAATAAAAAAAAAAAAAAATTGGAAAAGTTGGATTTGAAAGTAAACCTTTAGAGGAATCTAACAATCAGTCGAAGTTAGTGCTGCCGTGCTGGCAGAAATTGATATTAATATGACGAATTTGACACAAAAATATTTGGTTAGTGTCAAGGGTTTTTTAAATGTTTAATTATGCGAATCAATTCTGACACGACATGCTAATTTAAACAAGCTAGGATAATGAGAGATTTCTAATACAAAATTTACACAATTGCTAGCTCTAGTCAAAGTAGAGTATGTATATTTAATTTAGAATTTTCGTACTTCTTCCGTTCTTTTTTACTTGACCCGCTTTGACTTTTATACTATTCACTACTTCTTTGACCGTATTTTGTGAATAATAATTAAGAAAAACATATTCATGTAAGATATTTTTAAATTCGTCTCAACAAGTACTATCATAATATATAACTTTTATAATTTTTACTTATCGAGAATTAAAGTTATTGATCGTTAAAGTTTTGCATTGGCAAACGTGATAAAAGAAACAGGTCAAGTAAAAAAGAAGAGAGGAAATATATAATAATATAGGTTATGTTCATTTTCTACGGGAAAGACTTAGATAGGAGTACATAAATCGCTTTATATATCTTTTCAAAAAAAAAAAAAACGCTTTATATATTGTGACTAATGCAACAAAATATAATAACATCTGGTTTTTATATAATACTTCATTTGTCTCGAAATATCTTACACTGTTAACTTTGTACACATGTCAATGCACTAGTTTGACTTTATTTTTACATACTTAAATATCAACAAGATTTTTTTAAAAATATATTACGAGACTTTATATTAATACCTATCTAACAACATATTTTATTTCATAAAATATGTTTTTATTGTATAAGTAAAAATTATGATAAAAACTAATATATGAATAATGAAAAAAGTCCAACATCTCAGATGTTCTAAGTCTGAGGAAGTAGTAAGTCAAAGTAAGTATATGTAGTGTAAAAGTCAAACTAATGCTATTATTCAAGTTTAATTGAAATACGTCAAAGTGATCAATCATTTTCATTTTTGGAAATTATCATTTGTATTGAGTATTACTTATAGATCGTTAAAAAAAATACAGTATTTTCTAAAAGGGAAATAACACATAAAAACTGTTAATAAAAAAAGTAAAAGAAAATCGCGATTGATACGGGATAATTTTTCTCTTTCATTAAAATTTACTGATTTCTTACTAATGGTTGAAATTATATATATAAATCATCTTAAAAACACAGGTAGGTTGACGTTGGAGAGTAAAGAGGGAGGTAAGAGAATCCCCCTACTCCCAAACATTTTATAATTAGTGGGATTTGAACCTGTGACCTTAAAATCACAAGGTGAGTTTCTATTGGGCTACTAACTTCACCACGCTGTGTCTGGTCGGTAAAGGCTACAAATACAATTGTTGTATATGGCCCTTACAACAATTGTATTTGTCATGTTCCATTATATTCAATTTATATTTGACTTCTAATTTTCTCCTATTTTCTATAATATGTCAAATTTCTAATGGTATTGTATGTAGGGCTATAGATGTATGTGTATTGGTCTATATCATTGTTTGTTACTGTATTCCGTATTTACGGTACAATATTCCATTACATTCATCCTGATTTAAATGTATGATTTTTATACGGAGTAATTTTTACAATACAAAATTTTAAAAATAATGAAAAAAATAAAAAGGGACATTAAACAAAACAAAAGCTGCGTGTTTGAGCAGCCTAAACCCTGCAAACCCAAGCTCAAACTTATGCCCAACAGTTCTCATAAACCCTAAATTAGAACTTCAACCCATTTTTCAACTTGTTCAGCTCTTAATCACTCTACTTCTTCTTCTTCACATCCTATTTACAAATTCAACAAAAACAAAATTAATTTTTTTTGGGATTTCAGGCTAAAACTTTCCCCAAATATGTCCTGCTATGACAATGGAGCTCACTGAATTTCAACAACCCATCAATTATCAGCGATGTTATTGTTTCTTCGCACTTTCTTTAGCGTTGTTGGTCGCAGAAGCTCCATTTCCAATCGCATAGGTGCGTCCATTGTTGCCCCGTTTCCTCATAATAATATGCCTTTCTCTCTCCTCCCTTCGACCCACTTCATCATTTGTCCTTTACAATGCAATTTGATGATCTGGGTCACTGGTTTTTTGTTAAATTTTAGATACCCTTTTATCAGTAAAGTAAATTCTGATTGTTTCAATGAAGTATTTGATAGAGATTATATGAAAAAATTAGTTCTTGAAGAGAGGTGGAATGATGCTAGGATTGGTAGTTTGTTTAATTCTGCATTAGCCCCAATTTTAGTTTCAAGGGTTTTAGTTGTATTGAAGGAAGAACCTAAATTAATGATGAAGTTCTTTCGGTGGGCGAAAACGCGTATTGGGTTTAGGCATTCTACTGAATCTTATTGTATAGTGATTCATATCTTGTTTAGTAGTAGAATGTACCATGATGCAAACTTGATACTGAAAGAAATGATACTTTCGTCCAAGCCGTGGCCTGGTGTGGATTTGTTTGATGCTTTGTGGTTGACAAGGAGCGTTTGTGTTACGGGTTATGGAGTATTCGATGCGTTTTTTAGTGTGTTGATTGAATTGGGAATGCTTGATGAGGCTAGCCAGTGTTTTGAGAGGTTGAAGAGATATAGGGTCCTCCTAAGGTGCGTTCGTGTAATAACCTTCTAAGAAAGCTTTGTGAATCAGGTAGAGGTGGGACATCAAGGAAGATTTTCAGTGATTTGCTTGGGGTTGGGATGACCCCATCTGTGTTTACTTATAACATAATGATATGTGATAGATGCAAGGAGAAGGATATGGTAGGAGCTAGGGAATTGTTTAATCAGATGAAAGATAGCGGCTTAATACCGGATATTGTTACATATAATACACTGATTGATGGGCATGGAAAGCTTGGCCTGTTAAAAGAAACAATAAATAGTTACGTGGAGATGAGAGAAGTAGGTTGTCGTCCTGATCTTATAACATATAATACTCTGATTAATTGTTTTTGTAAATATGAAAAGTTTCCTCAAGCTTTCCAATTTCTTCGTCAGATGAAAAGTGATGGTTTGAAGCCTAATGTTGTAACATATAGCACATTAATTGATTCTTTTTGCAAAGAAGGGATGATGAGAGAAGCTATGAAATTTTTTGTTGATATGAGACGTCTTGGTCTCTCTCCAAATGAATATACATATACTTCTTTGATTGACGCGAATTGTAAAAGCGGAAATCTTGGTGAAGCTTCAAAAATAGTGAAAGAGATGTTGGAGGTGGGGCTTGACCTAAATGTTGTAACTTGTACTGCTCTGATGGATGGCCTTTGTGACAAAGGGAGAGTAGAAGAAGCAGAGGAATTATTTAATACTATGCAGAAAGCTGGCATAATCCCAAACCAGAAAACCTACACTGCTTTTATTCACGGCTGCATTAAAGCTGGGAAGGTGGAAAAAGCCAAAAATATCTTAGAAGCAATGAAAAAGAAAGAAATAAAGACAGACGAGACTCTTTATGGCACCCTTATCTGGGGACTTTGCAATGAAGGAAAAGTTGAGGAAGCTAATGTTTTAGTAACTGAAATGAAACAGATTGGTCTTGAGGTAAATAGCCATTTGTTCACAACTCTGATAGATGCTTATTTAAAAGCAGGGAATGCCATAAAAGCTCTTGAACTTTTCCAGGAAATGCAAGAGTTTGAAATCATGCCTACTCTTGTAACATTCATTGTGTTAATTGACGGTCTCTGCAAATTGGGACTGATCCAGGATGCAGTTGACCATTTTTACAAAATGGAAGCTACGGGTTTACCTCCCAATATTTCTATCTATACGTCTCTGATTGATGCTCATTGTAAAAGTAATTGCATGGAAGTGGCAAAAAGGCTTTTTGATGAAATGCAAGCAAAGGGGATAGTTCCAGATGGATCTGTTTTTACAGCTTTGATTGATGGGAACTCAAAGCATGGAAATGTTGAAGAAGTCTTTAACTTAATCAACAAAATGACCAGTTCTGGTTTGCAGCTGGATTTGTATGCTTATACTTCTTTGTTACAGGCTTACTTTAGAGCAGGGGATGCCAAAGGGGCCCTTAATCTGTTTCAGGAAATGCAGAACTTGGGCATTGCTCCAACACTTGGGACTTACACGGTTTTGATTGATGGTATGTGTAAATCGGGATTGGTTGAGGATGCACTGGACCAATTTCGTAGGATGGATGGTACTAGTATATCTCCGAATGTTGTCATATATACAGCTTTAATTGACGGTCTTTGTAAAAGCAACTGCTTGGAGATGGCTAAAGAACTTTTTAGTCAAATGCAAGCTAAGGGTATGGTTCCAGATGTAGCTGCTTTTACAGCTTTGATCTCTGGCAATTTAAAGTTTGGTAGCATTGAGGAGGCATTTAAGTTGAAGAATGAGATGATTGATATGGGTTTGGAGCTTGATTTACAGGCATACACCTGTTTGGTTCAGGTGCTTGCTGACTTTGGTCAACTTGAAGAATCAAGAATGTTATTTGATGAGATGATCAGGAAGGGTATTCGCCCTGACAAAGTTATTTATGGTGTACTGGTGAGAAAATATCTTGACCATGGAAAGGCTGATGAGGCTGTAAAATTACAAAATGAAATGATTAGGAATGGTTTCTTAACTGAAGATAGAAACTCTGCTGCTATGGTGCACAATCGCTGTAGATGATGGTATGAAGCTTCAACACTTTCTGTGGGATGTTTTATCTTGTTTGAGAATTTCTAGAAACCTTATAATTGCAGTGAACAAGTCAGCTCAGCCAATTTGTGTTCATTCATGATGCTTCACACAAACCCTGGATGCCAATAAAAAATCCGATCTCTGGGTGTTCATAGAGAAAATTTCATCCTTGAGGTTAGTTTTTCTATTGATTCACAAGCACTCTAATAAAATTTATTAGGCCTAGTTGTTATTTTGCTTTGAAACTAGATACAGTTAGGATAAGGTCGCATGGATAGAATAATGGTGATTTTTTTAAAATTTCTATTTCTAAAATGTGATATGGCCTTGTTTGGCTATCAATAATTGGTTATTTCACTTAGCATGTTTGATCAGCTAGTATTGGTTGTATCGGTTCATTTGTCTGTTGTTTGAGTCTTCTCAAACTGTTACTTGTTTGAGCCAACTTAGCACTAGGTGTTTATTAAGATCTGTGTTTGAATCACTAGTTGGGTGTTTTTGTGAAATATATGTAGTAGATAATTAATTGAGTAAACAGCTAACAGTCAATGAGAAAAAGCTACTCATGGCACCTTTTTCAAGGTCATGGAAAACCATTTGCCAAATATGATCTTTCACTATTAGGATGATATGAAATAGCTTAAAGTTAAAGGGTAACTAAAAGAGGCTAGCAAAAAGTCATTTACCATACAAGGTCAATGTGCCTAACATGTGCTTGTCTCTGTCTATCACACCAAGACACATTCTTCCTTTTAGAAGTGTCTGTTTGCCTGTACAAGCTTAGGTGCTACTTATTGTCTTAATGAGCTGCTGTGATAGCCCACCCCTAGCACATTTTCTTTCTTCAACCTTCTCTTCTCTTGCTCTCTCGTGTTTTACTTGACCATGCTTCTTTTTTGCATTAGTGCTCAGGCTCAATGTAGCATTGAAAAACACAAGATTGGTGATGATCAATCATCAATTGCTTTTCTAAGGAGAGGAGCCAGTTCCTATCAGTTTTGTGCCTTTGATTATCCAACAAGGTATGCCAGTATAAGTTCCCATAGAGGGATTATGAAAATGTTCCAGCTTTATGGCAGTGCTGTTCTGTGTAATTTTTTTTTTTTTTTGGTATTTAGAGAGCCACAAGGGGGGTGGGGGGGTGAGAATCGATCCCAAGATCTCTTGGAATCGGGAGGGAAGCTCTAACCACTTGAGCTATCCCTCACTCTCGCTGTTCTGTGTAATTCATAGTGAAATAAAGTCACCTTTTTAGCTTCTTTATGGGCTAAGCAACTGGGTCTTTCCCAGACTATCCCACGGGCTAAGCAACTGGGTCTTTCCCAGACTATCCCACGGGCAGATAAAAAGGAATTTGGCTAATTTGTAGATGTATTTTTCTGTTACTTGTGATGGAGGAGGGAGAAGGGAGGAAGACAGCAATGAAAGTACAAAGTTGCCCTAAAATAATATAGCAAAACGTCTTATATAGTTATATACCCCCTGATGTACCAATTTGGTATCAGGCTGATGAACAAGTATTTTCTCTTTTTACTTTAGTATTGCTTATTCATTATAAATAACTGCTGTCAACTATGAAAATGGTCTAGATCATTGTTTTTGTTGCTTCTCATGTACACTTCCTAAATCCATATAAATCATGAATGTGATTTTTCTTGATTGCTTTATTATGAATTCCATTCTATCCCATTACAAGTACGTAACCATTCATTTTCCTACCTTACCCTCCATGATATTCTGTTTTATTATTGCAGATAATGTAGGCGTTCTATCCTTAACTTTCAAGATAGTTCCCTGATGAGCTTTAGGCACTACTAATATATTCTTCACATACTTGGACAAGATGTGTCAATTAAGGAAATCGCAAGAGAGCCTTAAGACAAAATCCTCCTGGATTATCGGAGCAGGTAGTTACAAACTGTTGATAAAAATTTAGAACTAATCAAGCTTGTCTTATGAGTGTGGCTGTGAAACTTTACTTTGCTGATAGATTCATGTACCAGAGACTTTTACTGCTGTTCAACTTTCCTTCCACGCAACCCTTTGTTCCTGTAAAAAATTACCAAACAGGTAGCCCCTTCTATACTATTTATAACTAAATCTTTTTTTTATTTGTCCAGTTTTTACTCTGGATTTTAAGCTCTTGCTATTTATGACAGGCTGCAATCAAGACAAAGTGTGCAAACAAAAAAAAGAGAAGAATAAAGGAACGTGAAGGGGAGATCATGGAAGAGGAAGAAGAGGAGGGAGGACAAAGATGTGGCATTCCTTCGTAACTAAAAGGTAATATCTTTCATCCTTGGGAAAACTAATGTTGAATAAAGAGGATTTTGTGTACCCATTGACAAAGTGAAAAAAAAAAGGCAGAACATTCCTGAAAAAGATTTGCTACCAACCAAACTTTCTTAAGCTTTTCCATGAAAACATATGTACTTTAGAAACATCATTGATGCTGATTTTATTCGCAGCTCTGGCTCACCTACTGAAGACGGCCAAATCAAGTAGAAAGGCGACACCTTTAAGCTACAGCAAAATCAATTCTGCGGTGTATGGATTTCCATATGTACATAGCCTTATTCCTAACCGTGGCCATGATCAGTCAAAAGTTCAGTGGTAGATAAATTGTACGAAAGATAAACCCATATGCGTGAGATTGCCATAAGCTGGCCTCAAGTCTGAGCTCCAAAGCATTTTACAGTTTTAAAGATATCTTTAAGCATCTAACAGTTATGTTGCCATAAGTACAAATTTTGAAGGCATTGTCTGTTCGATCTTAGACCTCAATGAACATGTACAAGTCTATATTGATTTGCAAGGTAAAGTAGCCAGTATTAAGGCTCCAAACACCTTTATTTGACATTGTTCTTGTAATCGTATTTCAGAATGTTTCTGCCTCTCTGGTAATGCTAATGGATTTTCAATCACCTCATTATCTTCGTAAACTATCATTACCATCTTTAATTAGTTATTTGAAGGTTGCATTAAGTTTATTGAAATTTCTTAAAATCTAAAACATGTTTAGAGGAGTCGTCCTTTATTACAAGTCTACAACATATAGCCGCCTATCAAACGAGCGCTCTGTAATAAGTTGTAAATTCGGGTAAATAGCTCGGGTTTGGGTCGGGTAAGAGTGGGTCAAGTCAACTCGGGTCGGTGTTCATAGGAAATCATCATCAGTCAGATATACCAGTTGTACTCTGTACACACCCGCTCAAACTTTTGTTTTTATTAATGGACTCAAATACAAAATTGTGGATTTTGGTGTAACTTATCCTGGAGCACATTGAGTTATCACAAATTCACAATCTTGTCAAGTTGTTATGGACAGTATCAAATAATATTCTGGATATTTCATAAAGCGAGTTTTCCAGCTTTTCCAAGCTAGCATAACAATGGCTGCAAATTTCACCTAAAGTACACGCATACAGATTTTTTTTTTTTTTTTGGTCGATGATCACATCAAATTTTAATACCAACATTAAAAAGTTAATTGTTAAATTTTTGTACTTCATGTAAATGTGTAATATATACTCCATTTGAATCAAACAAATACGAGTAAATATTTTATTTTTTTGATAGGATACCAAGTTACCAATAAATACTTTGAATGGGAGTTATTACTGATTAATTCAGTTTTGTGTTATTTATGCTCCCAAATCCTGAGGTGTAATATAATTATTGTGATGATACTCCGTTCTCCATGATTTAAACTAGTAAGTTGACAAAGAAATCCGGAAAAATGGAGTAATATGTTGTTTGATTGCTTTAGTTGTTTAAAAATAGGAACAGACAACATAAACATACCATATCTGCTTATTATTAATTATGGTAAGAAACAAAGAAAAGCAGCAGAACATGTTTCAGACCAGCAGTTCAAGTTGCCTGGAAGTTGAATCTTCACAATTCAGCAAATTATAATGAAAGTGCCATTGCTCAAAATAGTACAAGTATAGACAAGATTATTCTGTGGAACAATGACCGTTACACTACCATCTTTCCACCTTCGAATTCAGAAGTACTGTCAAGATAACAACTCAAACGAATACTGTTTAAATGAGGCTATATTATTATTGCCATAACTGACGATCAATTTCTAATGACTAGAAAAACCACGGCGTTCAACAAATTAGAACCATCATAACAACAAATCACTGCAAATCTTATTGTAAAATGGAATCAAGCTACTAAAAATTTCATTCATTAACTCTAATGTTACAATGGTGTCTACAGAAAAAAGGGGGAACTATTGAAGGCTCCATAAAATTGAAAAATTTCCCTTTAGAACAGTATAATACAATTAGAACATACAAGGAGAAAAAGCAGATAAGAGCTGAAAAAACTTAACTAGAAGCAGAATCAATGATCAAGCAGGAGTTCTATTTTAGAAAGAAACACCAAGTTTCTTTGCGAAATCATCTCCATCGTCTTCATCCATGAACTCCTCTTCAAGGTCACCAGTTTCACCATCATTCAGATGATACCCTTCTCCGTCATCTTGTTCATATTCATATTCCCCATCATCCCCATGATCATACTCTTCATCAAATTCATGCTCTTCACCATCAGCTACAACCAAAGCCTCTTCTGCTTCAGGTTGTTTATTGTCGTCAAGTGAGGGAGATTCACTGTCACCATTTGACTTTATCTTCTTATTTGAAATTTCACCTTCTTCTTCATCTGCCTCAACTGCCAGTATCTTGTTCTCTACTTTACTGGCCTCTGCTTGTTCATCAGCAGAATCAGAGGCGACTTGTTTTCTTGTATCCGCAGCACAATTTGAGGGACTGCTCGTCAAGTTTACATCATTTTCATTGTCCTTGATTTCTTCTTTATCGTCAGAACTTGTACCACCAGTAGAAGCTGTTCTTTTTCTCTTCAAAATCTCACTTAATGGCTTGGGCCCAGCAAACGCAATATTACCCTCAGTTCCAATAGAACTGGCTAAGACTGTGTCTCTCAACTTCCCCCCTGAAACTGGTTCTTGGCTCTTCAGCTGATGTGACTTGCTATCAGTATTTTTGGTTCCTTTTAGCTCAGACAAGCTTTTTGGACCGGCAAAATTGACATCATCTGATGGAACAGTATCTTTTCTCATCATTGGACCTTTTATCATTCTTCCCTCACGGCTTTCATCTTGTTTCATTCCACTCAATCTATCTCGAAGACGACTTGGTTGACCAGAAACTTGCTGCCTGCTTGGAGATAATCTTCCAAAGCTCCTACCTCTTTCATTCTCTCTCTCTGAGTAAATATCATTAACACTCACTGGAGAAGATTTTCTAGGAAGCTTTATTCTACCCTGAAGACGGTGGCCACGAGAACTCTCATGTATTGGTGAGCGGCGCGAGTCCCTCCGAGTACTCCTGTAGCCACGATCCTCAGCACGGTCATCATGGCTGTAGTCAGAATTAACTACCGACTTCAAGCCATTTACCCTCCTATGCTTAGATAAACGATGACGCAAATCAGAATTTTGATTGACATCAAGACTCTCAGACTTGTATGGAGGACCTCGCCTGTCCATGTGAGCAGGTTCACCAAGTGATCTTTCTGATGATACCCTACGATGATCCCGAGCATACTTCTCAGGCATACGATCAAATGAATCATAGCCACATCGATTGTGATAAATTTCAGGCTCAACATCAGCAACTGAACCGTAATCATCCTGACGACCAATGTCAAACTCGTTTAGATTTCTTCCGTCACGACCTCTCATCTTCCCATACTGATCTTCATTGTGATAAAACTCATCCTCGTTGACTTTATTATCCACAAGTACATCAAATCCAGGAGACGATTCCCTCAATGAGTCATCAGCATCTCTACAATTCTGAAAATAATGGTCATCATATGAGCCACCGTGATGTGCACGTCCAGTCCTGCTTCTGGAATTTCCATTGTCAACAGAAGACGGTTTTATTTCCCCATATTTAGAAGACCCTGCGGCGGTCACACCACTAGGAGGTAAATAGCCTTTTCCAACAGTTGCTCCATTCGTCGGCCGAATGGACTGATTTTTTGGAAATGCATTAGCTTGATGTGGCGTTTCAACAACCTTAGGTTTATTTGCTTGGAAATTCATTTGGGGTTGTGTACACTTTTCGAGACTACCAAAAGCTTTCTTGAAAGCATGAGCTCCAGGCGTAGGAGTGCTGCTGGATGGAGCTTGTTGAATCTTGGTATTAGGAGGACTTGGGCCATGCATGTAAGGGCATCTATCGGCTTTTAAGCACTGTCCCCTCTGAAAGAAAATGCAGGGAACTTGCTTAACTGGATTCTGAGGAGCTGAAAGCATAGGTAGGCCAGGCGGTACAAGAGCAGAAGGCCCATCAACTTGATTTCCCACCAAACCATCCAAAGGCTGAATAATTGGGAAAAGATGATTAGTAATAGTACAGTCTGGTGAACAAAGAAATAAGGCAAGAGTATATCATAACATCAACATAGAATAAGAACTTACAGGATGCCTGAATGAGCATTTAGGATTCAAGCAGTTCCCATTCATCCAGTACCAACAATCTGTTGGGTTCATCCGAGCATAATCACTATGTCGATACTCACAATCAACTCCCTGCAGACACACAGAGCAATACCGAGAGCATGTCAGTTAAACAGAGAAAAAGAGCCACCAATTTCAGCCAATCATACAACCAATTAGGCCTATGCTTCAAAACCTTAGGCTGTTAGGCAACAGTACATCATAACATTAGCTCGGACGTTATATACATACTAATTAAGCCTATGCTTCAAAACGTGTCGCTTTCGTAAAGAGCATACGACCAAATCAGATAACACTACTGGTTTTACAAACATACATAACGTATTTCACATATGCGCATCAAGCAAGATCCAACATATTAGGTAAAAATTAAATTGAAAACCTTTCTCTTCTATTTCACAACTTACACAAAATAGCCAATCAAAATCACACTAAAATCATAACCCTAGACAACGAGGATAACCAAAATTAATCGACATTCAAAGAATTGTTTTAAAGATCGAAACCCTAAAACCGAACAAGTTTAATTGAGAAATAAAGTGGATCCAAATCAAACCCAATAACAAACGCAATCCCTAAAATCAACTTCAAATCAAACATACTTCACTCAAATCCCAAAGATTTAACCGCCGAAAAATCAAAAACCAGAAATCAAACAAACACAAGACAAATCCACAAAATCACATAAAATTAATCAACTCAAAATCAATCAAACCATACTTAGAACAAATCAAACAATACCTTTTTACAGGTCAAGGGAGAAGCCAAAAAATAAACACAATCAGTATTCCTCTTCAAAGATTCATCCTCCGGCGCCGAAGACGAAGGAGGGCCTTGCTGGGGTTGCAACGCCTCCTTAGTAACGGTAGTAGCCATGAATTTATTGTATAATTTCAACTTCTATAGCGTCGATTTAAGCTATAGATCGATAAATCAGGGGTAAAAATTGGGAACCGCGGAAACCCTAAATTAGGGTTTGATTTGCGATTTCTTCCCCAAAATTAAAATTGGGATTAGGAGAGAGAAAGAGAAAGAGGGATTAGAGTAGAGAGAGAAAGAGGGAAGTAATTTTTGGGGATTAATTAAGAGAGAGAAGTTGAAGCTGGTTAAGGTTTAAGCTGGAAGCGGCTTTGTTGGCCTTCTAAAAAGCTTTTCTTTAAAAGGCCAATAGATTGATACTGGCTTTGTTGTTTGGATGAAATACTTTCTTGTTTTGCCTTTTGTAGCCCACACTTTACCGTTTTGGTTTGGTTTTTTGTGTACCATATATACCCTGAGGCCAGAGGGGCAGGGCTGCAGAGCGTGTATAGCCGATAGACGATAGTCGACGGTGATGGTTAGTTATGCATCGAAGTTTAGGCGAATCGGGAAGGTATTAAATGTTCTTTGCGCATTAGGTTTCTCGACAATTGATTCTGAAGGTCGACGGTTTGTTAATTATGTGTTGAGATTTTGGTGATTTGGGAAGCTATTATAGATGCTCGTTTTCTAAGTTTCTCGGTGTTGATAGTGATCATAATGAAGGTGCTAAAATCTGTAACTTCAATTCTATCATAATGAAGGTGTTAAAAGGCAGTGGAAGATATTTTGATTCGTTTACATCGACATTGTCTGCGCGCGAAATGATATTTTGTGGGTTTGATTCATACTAATTTAACATTGGATTTGAGTGATGTATTTCGGTCATAATTACTTTCAATCTGCTCTGCTAGTTTACATCATGTAATGCAGATGACAATCTCTACATCTTTAAGTCTATTAAAAGGCAATGGGTGATCAAGTAATCCATCTTATTTGTCGTTGTTGGTTTGCAAAAATGATCTCTTATGATTTAATTATGTATCAATTTAATTCTTCTCGAGGCGAAGCAAGCAACATATATAGGTCTAATTGCGATTATTATAATCCAACCATGCTTTTCTAGTTTGATTCAATAACGAGTTTCACTTTTGTCGTCTTCTGTTAGTTATTTATACCTACCTATTACAAGGTAGTAATAAAATTACCAGATGTCGATAAGAAATACAATTGATTCACACATATGCTATTTAATTTTCCTTGTTGAAAAAATAATAGAAAAAATAAATAAATACAGATATTTAAAGTGCTTGTGTATGGCTTGTGAAGATTATTTTTTATTTTTTAAAAAATATGATCAAGCAAGGAGGGCGGGCTTGATTTCCTACCATCTAAATTCGGGTTGGACGGGCTCAACTTGATTACCTCTACCCTAACGTTAAGTTCAATACTGACTAGCGGTTTGAGAGGAAAGTTAAAAGGTGAGATTTCCGTCGATTAAGACTTTACTACGTTGGAGGTTTTGTGGGCAGAGTTTGGGGATGGGTGGCTTTAGGTGACCAATGAGAGTAGGTAGTGGCTTTTATGGTACTTGGTTGATACTTGAGGGGGATGTTGAGTAGGGTCGTGAAAATATAGACTTGGCTAACCATTATGAATTCATTTCTAACTACTTCCTCCCCTTTTTTAGTTGTTCCAATTTCACTTTTATGGTCTAATCAACCTTATGCTCAGTATATATGCGTAATTATTATAAAAAGTAGATAGTTTGAAAATTCATTTTGATACAAACTTAACATCTCACATGATATGATCTTGACCATTTTAATATTGTATAGTTTGAAAAAGTAGAGGTTTTAAAAGTTGGCCACAAAAGTGATAAAAGGTTACCAACAATTTCATACTTTTTTTTAAAAATTGATTTTGTAGGGGCTACCAACTAAGTTTTATAAGAGCTAATTACCTTCCATTTTAGAGGTAGCTTACTAAGGGATACAAATGTTGCTCAACCTATATCATAGTATACGGTTACCAAATATAATATATACAAATTTACTTTATAAAGGTTTAAAACTTGAAGGAATATTGAATCTTATATTTGAGGATTATAATTTATAGGAGGTTACCTATTAATGTTACAAGGGTTACTTACTTCATTGTTGATAAATAAGTTTTCCTCGATTTGGTGGTTGTTACTCTCAATTTTTAAATTCATAAACCAGTCTTCAATCTCTACGAATTTTTTTTGACTAAGGGTCTGTTCACTTCAGCTTAATATCATTTTAGTTCAGTTCAATTCAGCTCCAATCAGTTCAATTCAGCTCCAATCAATTTAGTTCAGCTCCTAATTACCTTCTCTCATAAAATATTCATTTTAACTCAAATCAATAAATGTGAACAGACCCTAGGTGTGTGTTGACGTCAAAAGACACATACCATCATTTTTCATTAGGCTGTCAAATATAATCCAACCATTTTGATTGCATTAATATATGCTGACATGGTGCGTGATCACATGGATTTTTTATGTGGCCACCTAAAATACACGTTGAATATATAGTTACCACATAAATTATAAAAAACACGCTGATTATATAATTACAACTTAAATTATACCAGTAATTTTTATTTTATCCAACTATATATGCATAAAGTTATGGAAAATTTATCAAAAATAAAACCCAAAAAAAACCTAAAAACACAACTCCATATACCATCCATTGTCATCCGAGCCAAAAAGGCAATCGATTTCGTATACTCCGTAATTTTATACAGAAACAAAGCCCTAAAGTATTCCCCATCACTCTTCTTTTTTATCAAAGTTTTTGCAATATCTCAGTAATCAAACCAATCAACCATTTCTTCGATTTTCAATCGTCATTAACAACGAAGCTCGAAATCAATGGAGGACATTCTCTCTGCTTCCGATAAGCAGGTTATGGTCTCCAATTTCCTCGAGATCGCTGTTGGCCAGACTGCCGATACTGCCCGCCAATTCTTGCAGGTATTTTTCCCCATTTCTTCTTCAATTTCATAAATTAGGGTTTATTCACTATAATGCTCGATTTGATGATCGCTGCACAATTAATCATGTATTCTGTAAATTTTATGTGCGAAGTGTAAAATTGATTTAGAGTAATGGTAGCTCAGAAATTACGCTGCATCTGTTGGTTAGTGTGATGAATTGCGGAACTTGCTTTGAACTTTTTGCTGGAAGAAATTGTTTGGTTTGATTTTGTAAGACGTTAATTTCTTGATGCTTGTAGTGTAGTTCAATTTAGCTGATGGTTTTGATTTAGAACATCGTAAGTGTGACTCTCAGTTAAATTTTGTTATGTTTTTTCGATAGTGAATTTGCAACTTGGATTAGTGTGTAGATCTAGGTTGTCATCGTGGTGGGTTACAAATGTGTTGATCGGAAACTAATTTGTGTATCTTGTTTTATGTACCCAGTAATCGAATTTGTATGTAAAAAAGTTTGTTTGTTTTAATCTTAATTTCGGTTGGTCGGTGATAATTCACATTCAAGAAGGTATTTGTGGGAGGATTTTCTGGGAACCGGAAAGCTTTGTTTGTTTTTTTTTTTGGTAAATGCTTTTTATATCCATGAAGGCATGGATACATGCTAGGTGTCATCGTCTTTGTGAAGTCATGCAAAGGAAGTTTTGTTATCTTAATTGAAGGATGCAGTTTAAGTTTAGATGGAAGAATGGAGGTATGACTGAGTTGATGGGAAGTTTTATGGTTTCTTTATCCATCAGTAAAGGGGAAACATAGATGACTTCATTCTGTGTGATAAAGGTTTTCTAGACTAGTATAACATCTCCTTTGAGTAGTTTGATCTGTAACTTTTAAAGCTGTGTGATAAAGGGCACCCTGCTGTATGGGAAGCTGAACAAGGTGGTAGTTCTACAACAGATAGCTCTCGAGATAACCTTGCTGCTATGTTTCGGCCTCCTTTTGCTTTAATGACCCAGGGTCCTTTTGAGAAGGTTTGTTTCTGTTATAATTTATTGCTGTGAAGTACTTTCATTTCCTTCTTTGGGGTTTTTTGTAAGGAAAAGAGGATAGTTGTTCACCTGTATCATCTTGCTCCTTATATCCTTAGCTCTAGCCTCAAGTCCTCCCCCCCCCCCCCCTCTCTCTAACCTCAATTGACCCAATCATTCACTGTCCACACTCTCCACAACTTATTTCAGCTGAACTCTGCCATCTCTCAGGGACCTTATACTTTCTAGTTCCTACATTGATTTTTGAGCATGACCTTGTCTTTGCAATGCATGATTGAAGCTTGCTTTGCTTTATGAATAAAATAGGGACATGGGAGACTTTGGGCTTTGTGATTCTTCTGGCCAGCGACTTACTCTCTTATCTATCTTCGACATCATTATGATCAAGTTGATGATTTAATCATGTGGCAAATATCCGAGGGTTGGCTATGAACCTTTGTGATGCAAATTTTGTTGATAAGCTAGACATGCACTAAGCTGATTATTTAGTTAATGTTTCAGTGTGATGTTTCATATTTATTATTTTCTTCATCTCTGATTTTTTGGGGCCTTGCCCCTCTTTTATGACTGAGTTTGATCTGTAATTTTTAAAGCTGTTTTTGCCAAGTATTTCTTTTGAATGATTCATTTGCATCATATATGCTGTGTCATCATATTTAATGTAATGGAAAACTGCAGGCAAAACTTACCGCTGCTTCTTCGGACCAGTGGCTCGTGGCTAATTTACAATCCCCTACAGAATTTAGCTCACATATGGTTGGTGCCACAACTCTCTATCTCTCTCTCCAATAGATATTTTTTAGAATTTTTATTTGACATATTTGTGATATCTAATTTGTTGTAATGCGTTTAATAGCTCAACAGAGACACCTGGGCAAATGAAGCTGTAGCCCAAACTATCAAAACCAATTTTATCTTTTGGCAGGTAACTATCCTGTGTTTTTTCTCGTCCTATTTATACTCCTATGTTCCTCTTGTATGCTGACAATCAGGTGTGTTCTGTTTTAAACTTTTAATGTGCAGTTAGAATTTATTTGATTTATCTTAATGCAGGTTTATGATGATACAAGTGAGGGCAAGAAGGTGTGTAATTACTACAAAATCGAATCTGTTTCAGTTATTCTTGTCATTGACCCCATAACAGGACAAAAAATGCGTTCATGGTCTGGTATGGTACATCCTGACCGATTACTGGAGGTATGGGCTTTGCATCTGATAATTTAATTTACCATAATACCGAAGATAAGTTACCTCTTGAAATCACTTGATGGAATTTGATTGGCTTCCCTTTGCAATTTTGGCTGATAATATTATCAATTTGCAGGATCTACTGCCTTTCATGGATAGCGGGCCACATAACCATCATTCCTCACTCTCTCATAAGCGGCCAAGAGAAAGTTCTAATGTTCCTGCTCAGAAAGTCCAGGGTATCTTAGATTTTCTACTTTTTTTTTCCCTTCCCTTATGCTTTCTTTTTACCTGGTATCATCTAATTAAGACTATTACAGTTCCATATTTCCATTCATCATTTCATCCCTGACACTTTCAGAGTTGATTACTGTGTTTTTGGTCCATTTCTAGGAGTTCTTAACCGTTTTTATGCTATTTTTGCAACACATTTTACTCTCTTCTCATCACTTCATAATATTTACACTTCCACCCATTCTCTTTTGCCTTTTCCATCTTTTTTTTTGCACCTTGCCAATTTTTTTTTAATTTTTTTTGTTTGCACTTTTCCTCTTACTTTAACCACCTTTTCTTGCACACACTCACCACGTCAAAACTCTCTCCCCCCCCCCTTTTTATTTTTCTTATTATCTGTGCGACCAGTAAATTTTATGATCAATGGAAATAATTGAGGATTAGTTGCTAATAAACATGTGTAGGGTAACATTTATAGATCTGCCCATGTAAATATCCTTCCTGTCCAGACCTCTTTTCTGTTGGATAAAGGCTATGTTGTGCTTGGACCTTCTTGATTAGATGGACTAATCTGTATACTGAGTTTTCACATGTCTCGTTATAATTTTTGGTTTGTTAAACCAAACCAGAGTTTGTTGTGTGTAATTTCTCTGGTTACGTAGAAGTGGGATGAGTGAATGTATCTTTGTTTTTACGACAACAATCACCAGCACTTCATATGATTGCTTTTGCAACTGATGAACCAAAAAGGATTATGTTTCTGTATATATCTATAGATTTAGGGTCAAATGAGAAGTTCCTTAAAATCAGTAGCATTTTATATGCATATTTTTTGAACTGGATGTGCATATTTCTGTACTCAAAGAAGATGTGCATTTTTTTTTTTTTTTTGAATGTAATGTTTTTATTCCCATTTTTCCAGAATTTTGAAATATTACTAGTTTGGGGGAAAGAAATGCATATATACAGTGAAAAGTTGTTGTACATCAATCCTTCTCATTTTAAGTTATATACTATGTATTTGTTTTGAAAGTCTTGAAATTAAGGGGTTTTATGTTCTGCAGGTGAGACCACCGTAGATGAAGAGGAATTGCAACGAGCTCTTGCTGCATCAATGGAGAACATGAATCATCCGGATGAAATTGCTTCTGAAGACAAAGATGCAGTCACTGCCAACAAGGAGGAAGCTAAATGCTCTACAAAGATTCCTGTGTATCCCCCTCTTCCTGAAGAACCAAAGGGAGATAGAAACCTGCTTTGCCGTGTTGGATTTCGTCTCCCTGATGGACGAAGAGTTCAGAGGAACTTTCTGCGCACTGGCCCTATACAGGTTAGGTTTTGGCTCTGTCTCACCTCTCCCTCCTATTTTTTCCCCTTGTACCATGTTTTGATTGAATTTGCTGACTTCTTTTGTTCTGCAGTTGTTGTGGTCGTTCTGCAGATCCCAGCTTGGAGAGGCCGAGACAAGGCCATTACGGTTGACACATGGAGTCCTTGGAGCTGCAAAATCTGTGGAATATGATAGTAATTTAACCTTTGAAGAATCAGGGCTCTCAAACTCCATGATATCAGTTACTTGGGAGTAAGATTGATATGTTGCTCTCTCGGTATATATATTAAGTATATGGCTGAGAGCTCAAGCAGACTTTTGACTGAATCAGTGTTCTTGCAGTTTGCTCCGCCTTTTGTTTTGTCATATTGTTTGTAGAACAAGTATGATAGGAAGGAGTAATTATTGTTATGTAGTCCATATGTATATACTTAATGCCAACAGCTCATAGAATGGTATCTGTCAAATTACAGACAGCTCTTTGTGTCCTGCTTTAGCTCTTTTAATCCATAAGTTCTTTATATTCCGGTTTCACCCATGGAAGCACAAACTCTTTTAATCCATAAGTCCTGCTTTGCAAGTGCTTATTGGATTCCTTTTTCCTTTTCTGTCTCTCTCCTTATTATTGATATTATTATTATTATTGCTTTGGTGATATAGGTGTTTTTTTTAAAGAACTATAATAAAAATAATTAGTCAAATTTGTTTTGAACAAGCAAAATCACTTTGATCCCAAATTTAAATAATGCGAATTAAAAAGTGAAACCTTGCGGTCACAAGGTGCAATCCTCCTTGCTTCAGGTACATACTGGTGAGGAATGGCTTGTGAATAGCGGACCAAAATAACTACGAGGGTTGAGGTCCCCTTCCTTGTAAGGGTTGAGATCTCCTTTCCCTTTCTCCTCAATTTCAAGTAAATTGCTTGTATATACGGAGTAACTATGAGGGTCGAGGTTTGACCAATGCAAACCTATTTGAGTGACATTGCCATTACACATCTAAGAAAAGTGTTGCGTTACTTTTGAATCATGCATCTAGTATAAATCACTAACAATTAAAAAAAGTAGGTACTTAACGCAAAACCTAAAAGTTAAAATGTACTAAGACGGAATTGTGATGTATACATAAATTGATTTTATGATGGTTAAATTGTTCTAGGAACGGAATTGGGATGTATACATAATTTGATTTTATGACGGTTTTACCCTTTTACTCACTGATGCTAAATTGCTGATGCAGACATGCAGTTGCATCATAGTTTAGGATAATGAGCTCATCAAAAACGGGCTATGAGCACGGGTTAACCGGGCCCAAAACTCAAGAACGAGAGAATCCCGCAAAAAGTCCCAAATTCCCAATTTCATTTTCTCTCTCCTCCCCAAATCCCTCTCACTCCACTCTACAGCCCCCTTTCCCATTTCCCCCCCTTCGCCAAAATATTCCCCTCTATTTGGCGCTTCTTCTTCCTCTCACTCCCCAATTTTCCGACACTTTTCCAAACCCAATGAAGCGAGTTTTCGACGAAATCTCCGACGATGAATGGGAGAATCACTCCTTCAAACCCTCAAAAGTCCTCAATTCTTCTTCTTCAACCTCCAAATCTCCTCCTCCTCCCATTGAATCCTTCTCCTTCTCCTCTCGATCAGCTCCGATCGACCTCACCGAAGACGGTGACGAAGACTACGCGCCGCCGCCGGAGGAAGACGATGACGACGACGATTTGGAGGATCACGACATCGACGACGATGATTTGGAGGATCACGACGCCGACACACGAATTCGCAGCCGTGGTTTCAGCCGTGGAAGGCGGTTTGTGGTTGATGATGATGAGGATGAAGATGAGGTTGCTGATGATGATGATGAGTTGCAGGAAGTGGTGGAGGTGAAGTCCGAGGATGAAGAAGAAGAAGAGGAAATGGTGTCGTTGTCGGATACTGATAATGACGAAGAGGATGATGATGTTTTGGAGAAGGAGGAGGAGGATGTGGTTGGGAGAGCGTTGCAGAAGTGTGCGAAGATTTCTGCGGAATTAAGGAAGGATTTGTATGGTTCTTCTAAGGTTGAATGTGAGCGTTATGCTGAAGTGGATGCTTCTTCTGCCAAAATTGTTAGTCAGGTTAGTTGTTTTTCATGAATTTATGATTTTTTTAGGGCTTAGTTTTATATAATTAAGTTGTTTGTAGGTATTAATTTAGAGGCAAATGCTAATTCAAATTGTTTTTAGCTAATTTACTCAATTTTGTATTTTGGAGGATTGTGTAAATACATTTATGTTGAAGGTGAATGTGAATTCTTGTTGTTTTTAGCCGAATGTGGTTGCTTTGGACTTTGTCGCTAGGGTTTTTGTTTCGATTACAATAAGTTGTATTGTGGATTTTTGTATAAAAATGCTGTTTTTGCACATAATAGAGGACTATTAGCTATAATTGCCTCATTCTATGTAAAGCATGGTTCTTAGGGAACAAAAAAGGGTGACTCGAGGTAAAGTTTAAACAATAGTGGAAGAAAAGCTTGTTTCAATATGAGTGAAACCAGTGAAATTCTGAGCAACAATAGTGGAAATCATTGTTTTTTTGCGTCTAATTGATTAGTATTAGCTTTAATGAACCAGATATATGATATATCACTGGGATTATAATTTCCTAACATTTGATAGTTCACTACTTCACTCATTTTAGTTATATGTTTTTGTTGGGCTTCTGGTGGTTATGTGTGCTGTATACATGTTCGGCTACTACCAATATTTAGGGCGATGAGACAAGACAGAATTGATCACTACAGTATTTGCAAATGTAGGTTACTGCATAGTTGCTGAAGACTAGATGATGGTGTGGGGTAGTAAGGGTGGTTATGGCATAAGGAATTTTTGAGAGTTTAATACTTGAATTGCACGTATCAATCAGTGTAAATGTATTCTCTCTTCCCTATTTGTTTTAGATACACATTATTGGGAAAATAGCTAAATTCTACTCAACTAGAACACCAATGTTCTGCCAAGAATCCCTTGTGGATCCAAATTTACAAAGACTTCTCTATCTTAATCTGAAAATTATTTTAAAGGAAATTTTCTTCACCAAGATGAGGAAAGTATTGTAATAGCTCTATCACTTCTATGTATTGTACTAGTTCTTTAAGCTGAATCTAGAATTTTCAGATGCTTGTTATAAAAGTAAATTATTCTATCCTAGGGGCAATACTAGTATGATTTGTGGATTGTGGGTTGTGAAAACAGTATAAAAGGGAAGCTGTTTCTATAGGCTCAAGAGGCACCATTTGTTTTTACACTATGTAAGGCCTAGTGTGAAGTATTAAACTACTTTTGGATGAGATGGTTCATTTCACATCTCTGAGTGCATATTCAGCAAAAGCATGTTTTGAAATCACTTTTGTTGATTTTTCTAATCTTAATTTTTTTTACGCTTTATCTGTTTCTCATTCTGCTCCTTTCTATCTTTCCCTCTGCCTGCTATGTCAGGATGTTATTAATGCAGCATGTGGAGCAGAAAATTCAGACTTTCAGCCACTTCTCAAACCATATCAGCTTGTTGGGGTCAACTTTCTTTTGTTGCTGAACCGAAAAAAGATAGGTGGAGGTAAGAAACGTTTCTTATGCATCAGGTTACTTTATGAGTTAATTCATGCTTATGTGTTTTTAATATCCCCTGATGCTTTAAAAGCTGTAGACTACATTCCAGAATTCTTAGAGTTTGTCTGCATATCATCTTGCATCTAGGTGCTCCTTTTTATACATAGGTCGTAGCATGAAGTATGATATCAACTTTATAGATATGTTAACTATAAAATCATTGTTGATGCATTGCTGAAAGAACAATAAATTAGGATAAAATTCATGCAATTATGGTTTATTGTCATTGAAAGAACCAAAGAATTGTGTTTACAAATCATATTACCTCTTAACTTTAAAGAATTGTGCTACATTATAAAAAAAATAAAAAATAAAAATAATACAGGCTACATATCACTTGAAATGTCAAAGATCCATAGTTTAATCTCTCTTTCTCATATTCATGTCCCTTATTCACAAACTCTTTTACACATGAGCGCAAAAATTGCTCTAGCCCTTCAAATGCATATACTACTACTAGATTCTAAAATTCATCAGATTGCCCCAGAATAAGATGCATTTACTAAATTTCTGGATTCGTTAGTAATTGGGTAAAGTTTGCTCACACTTTCTTATCCCCTCACATCATCACTACTATACATTTGAATACTAGGGGAACAAGTGGCTAATAAAAGACGGTAATCTTAAAATGGTGAATTTGAATAATAACATTTTTAACCTCACTATTTTTGGGCCTCTTTGATCTTTTGAGTAGAGAGGATCAATTAGCGCCAATATCATATTTACCACATTGGCCACTATTTTTAGGGAACATCTTGATCTTTCGAGTAGAAAAAAGATTTAATTTTTCCAACGGTTGAACTCCCATCATGATCTTTAATTTCAGAAAGGATTAACTGGCTCCAACATTAGAATCTTCCCTCCCATTTTTTGTTTTGGAGAAATAATAAAAAAATTTCAAGAAAAGAAAAATAATGAGGGTAATATAAATTGGGATGCTTTTAAAAAGGAATATATGAAGATAAAATGATCACTTTTTGATGATAAAAAAATCTTAAAGATGGAATGATTTGATGAGTAAAATAAAGTGATGATAGGCTGCGAATCTATCCTGAAAATACTTTGTTTCAAAATACTTGCAACGTAGCATCTTGGGACATAATTTAAGGAACATATCAAAGAAGACAAACAAAAATTTAATTGTGATAACTTAATTACCGATAACAGAAATGGTTTGAACTATAAAGGTTTATGTTATATTTACTAAGAATGTGGCTTGCACACTGACACGATGTACTCACAAATAGACTCATGGGGTACACTTGTATGTTGTACCAAAGTTCATGTAACATAGAATTTTCTGATAATTGATGTTGAGAAAATCTTGTTATCTTGTTTCTAACTAAATCATTGCCTTTAATTGCTTATTTTGATGTGCAGCTATATTGGCTGACGAGATGGGTTTGGGAAAGACTGTTCAGGTACAATCATCAGTTATATTTAAAAAAAATATTCCCCAAATATCCTATTATATACATTAGTATCCTTAATTTGTATGCAACTTTTGTGCCTCATTATTTCAGGCTATAACATATTTGATGCTGCTGAACCACTTGCAAAATGATCCGGGCCCACATTTAGTTGTATGTCCAGCTTCTGTCTTGGAGAATTGGGAAAGAGAACTTACCAAGTGGTGTCCAACGTTTTCTGTGTTACAATTCCATGGAGCTGGTAGAGCAGCTTATGCTAAAGAGCTAAACTCATTGGCCAAGGCTGGATCGCCACCTCCATTTAATGTGCTCCTTGTCTGCTACTCCCTATTTGAACGGCACAGGTTTTGTGAATTATCTTTTGTACAGTGTTTTCATTTCTATTACATGCATGTATTCTGATTACGATGCTTGTCGTGGCATTAGCGCACAACAGAAAGATGACCGTAAAATTCTGAAGCGTTGGAAATGGAGCTGTGTGTTGATGGATGAGGCTCATGCGTTGAAAGATAAAAACAGCTACAGATGGAAGAATTTGATGTCAGTTGCAAAAAATGCAAAACAGCGTTTGATGCTCACTGGAACTCCACTACAAAACGATTTACATGTATGGTACTGGTGATAGCTTTCAGTTATCTTTATACATTTCAAAATATATCCTTGTGTGGTCAACATCAAAGACATGGGAAGTAGTAATTCTTAGGCAGTAGAAGGTGGAGTTATTAGTTGGCTAAAAGCATGGGTATTTGCTCTTCACAGGATTCTGAATTTACTTAAGTAGGTTCTATGAAATTGAACTTCCCGTGTTCTACAATACAACATTTTGTCATTCCTAGGAAATCAAAATACATGAGAAAAGTGATCAACCAAATAAACACATAGATTGCTAGCATTAGGGTCAATAAGCTCTATGGGGATAGTTTAATAGGGTTCTTCTATTAATTTGAAGTAGCTGCTTAATACTCCTCTTCTTGCTCATTTTGCTTGCCTTTCATAGAGTATGCTGGGTTGCAGAGGCACAGGGAAGAACTCTGAATTTTTCGGAAATCAAAGATTCCAATATCTAGTTATATTAGGCAATGAAGTGTTTGCGTAGAAGATATCCTCAAGGAAACAGATAAAATGAATAAGATCGATGAAATAGCTATCAGATGGTTAGAATATATAAGTGAGTGAATTCAAAATTAGTGTCATAGACACAAACGATACTTTATTGTATGTGAGTCACCTTTTTACTTTATGAATGACCAACTTTATGACCCTACCTTTGATAATTTAATCTATTCATTATCCTTGTTGGGTAGATTATTTAATTAAATGATGGTTATTCATAGAAATCTTATACTAAATAATTAATATTTATGTTTATCATTCTGCATATCTTGAGGATAGTTAATTTCTGTACTCGTCTTTGTTACATGCACTAGAAATTTCTGCCCAACAATTTGGATTGCTACTTTTCTAGGCCTGCTCTACATTCTCTTTACCCTTGCTTTTTGAAATGGTGCTCTGATAGAAAGTGAGCTCACATTTATTTTAGGTTGCCCCATTTTATTGTGCTCTTTGGTTAAAAATGCATGTTCTTTTCTGATGTGCCATTACTCAATCATGCTGCTGTTTGAATCCACTCATTAATCACACTTCTTAATACTGGGAAAAAATAGTGAACATATACAAACAGTTAGGGGTAAAGAGATTTAGACAATGTATGCACTATATTTTTTGAAGTTCTGAGACTAGTAGACTGTTGTTTGTTCTCTGTTTGGTTGCTCAAATGCATTGGAGAAGGTTCTTTGTAGTAATTTCGTGTTGGACTAAACCTTGTTTCTAACAAAAATAACCTGCTCCAGAAACATGTAGGTGTTAATGTAAATCTAATAGCGTATTTTTTGGCATAATTTTCTTGGGAATAATTTTCTGGGTGTATCTATTTGGCATATGCATGTGTTTGTAAATTTGGATTTGATTTATGTCTCTTCTCTTTGGCCCTATGTGAGGTGCAGCTAGAGGATTAACTTTCGCACTAGAATTTTATTTTGGGGATTTTATACTTTTAAGCCTAAAAGCAACTGCAAAGACATTCAATAGTGTGCCTCAACCTCATCCACAATACACCTGTGCTGGAAACATTGAACCTTCTCTGCAGTATTTTCTGTCAGTGCTCAATAACTAGGCTGGCTTGTGCCACTGTTAAAGCACTTGCTTTTACTCTCTGTTTTACAATCAGAAGATTCAGAACTCCCTTGTTTCGTATTTATGGTTGCTTTTGCTATTTGAGGATGAATTTAGCTTTTAACTAAAAATATCTCTTAAGCTGTATTGACAAAAAAAAAAGAAAAGAAAAAGAAAAAAATGTACTTACATTGGTAAATTAATATATATAAAAAAGTACTTGTATATATATATATATATATATATATTTTTTTTTTAAATCTTATGCTAATATGGCTGACGATAGCTTCCTTTTATGGCTCTTTGCTGCTGCAGGAGCTGTGGTCGTTATTGGAGTTCATGCTGCCTGATCTGTTTGCTACAGAAAATGTGGATTTGAAAAAGCTACTTAGTGCTGATGATTATGATCTGATTGCTCGTATGAAGTCTATACTAGGTCCATTTATCTTGAGGCGCTTGAAATCTGATGTAATGCAGCAACTTGTAGCTAAAGAACAACGTGTAAGTTACGAGCCAATTTTTTGCACTGCTTAATAGTGTTGTTGAGGCCTTTGGTTGTGAATATTCAAAAGGTTTCTCATGATCCCTCCAACTTTGGCTTATAATCTCTTAATATGATAAAACCTGAACAAAAATTATACAAGTACTTTTATGACACAAAGCTAACAGTACCATTTAATGTATAATTATGAAATGGAGGTATCATCATCATCATCTACTAACTCAGGTTATTCGTCATCAGTTGTAAATTAATCATTTGGGATTTTGAATTAATGATAATGCAGGTTGAGTTTGTATCCATGGATAAAGATCATGATGATGCTTATAAAGAAGCCATTCAAGAGTATCGTGCAGTGTCTCATGCTCGCATGCCCAAGGGCTCTGACATTAATTCAAAAAATGTTGCCCAAGTTCTTCCTCGCCGTCAGATTTCAAATTACTTTGTGCAGTTTCGTAAGGTGCGTTCTGCTGCAGATCATGTCTTTATTACTATATTTTCCGTTAGTGCTTGCTGCTTACTGATTTTGTATGCCACATTTTCCTTATGGCTTCTAGGAATGAGAGGATGGGTATTGAAATGAGGGGTTAATTCCTATGAAACCCATGTTTGTTGCGAGTTGACTCTTACATGTTCAAGAGAGGGGACGAGAGGGGAAAAACTTTCATTTCAAAAAAATTTCTTAATTATTAATTTCACTTACTCTTATTAAGTATATTTGGTTTCCAATTTATTACAGGGACACCTTTCATTCTCACTTTTAAAAATTCTTATCCTACTCCCTCATTTCTAATCGCACAACTCCACAAGATGATTCATTTACACCAAATGAGTTTTATGATTGAAGTTTTATACTCTTATATGGTTTGCAGATTGCAAATCATCCTTTGCTAGTGAGGCGTATCTACAATGATGGTGATATTGTGCGGTTTGCCAAGAAGTTGTATCCCAAGGGCGTGTTTGGTCATGAATGTACACTGGACAGAGTAATAGACGAAATGAAGAGTTACAGTGACTTCTCTATTCATCGGGTAATGCACCCGCTTTCAATTTATTTTGGCCAGGGGATGGGGGGAAACTAGGCGGATGGAAGTTCTATGCATATGCATCTCTTGTTCTTGTGTAGTAAATAAAAAAAAAGAGTTTAGGTGTTGCATATTAGAAAGGTCCTTATATTCAAAATAGTATCATAAAAATCGGTATTTTACTTTATCTAGCTACAGTTATACCCTACCTCTACAAGGAATTTTTCGTTCCTTTTTTCTTTTTAATATTTATGGCATATGGATAGCTAAAGCCCTGCAGCAGCACCTGGCTAGTTATTACTGTACTAATTTTTTGTTAAATCTTAGAGGCTAGCATCACTTTATCTTTTTAGGTTTTGCAAAACATCGTATAAATCAGTTATGCTATAGAATGCATGGAATATATCTGGTCAGTTAACGAGGCTGAGAAAATTTGTTCCTACTTCCTGTCATGAAGTGTATCAACTTTTGGATTGCAGCTTCTAGTTAGCTATGGTGTTGAGGATGTGAAGGGAATCCTTCCAGAGGATCAGGTTATAAAGTCTGCAAAATGCCAGGTAATTTCTGAACCATGCCCTGCTATATGGACTTTAGAAGTTAAGGAAGCTGAATTGGGAAAAGCCACTCTATGAATGGATATTAAATGATGAGAGTGGATGTGATAGTAAGTGAGATATCAGGTTACTGAAAACCACCATGAACACACTTTAATCTCTTAAACTTTGCTACATTGCTAGTAAATGGAAGTCTTGTTGACAAAATATAAAGTTCGTGTGGTAATTAGGAAAAGACAAAATGCTCATGTATAAAAGAATTTATATTTGTTTATACAGGCATTGGCTAGACTTCTTCCCTCCCTAAAACAAGATGGTCATCGTGTTCTCATATTTAGCCAGTGGACGTCAATGCTTGATATCTTGGAGTGGGCGTTGGATGTGATTGGGGTTTCATTTAGACGCCTTGATGGAAGGTAAAAGGCCAGTTTATCTGTTTTGTATGTTAAATGTGTGAGTTATTGCAGGGCTTTTTTTCCCCCTAAGGATCTAGAACAGCTGCTCTCATTTTCTGTACCCTTATCATGTTGCATTCATTCCAACTAGCACAGTTTTTTGTGTGCTAAAACTAGTTTGTACTGGCAGTACGCAGGTGACAGAGAGACAAACCATAGTAGATACTTTCAATAATGATGCTTCAATATTTGCATGCTTGCTCTCCACCAGAGCTGGAGGTCAGGGTTTGAACCTCACTGGAGCAGATACTGTCATCATACATGATATGGATTTCAACCCTCAAATTGACCGACAAGCAGAGGATCGATGCCATCGTATTGGCCAAACAAAGCCTGTTACTATATACAGGTATATTATTATTTTATTAAATGATCAGATACTATCAACTGTCTTGTCGAGAGGCTAAATAAGATAATTTTTCTGCTTCTGCAGATTGGTGACAAAAGGTACCGTAGATGAGGATGTATATGAGATTGCAAAACGGAAGTTAGTTTTGGATGCTGCTGTTTTGGAATCTGGGACGATGGTGGTTGACAACGGTATGCCTGAGAAGACTATGGGTGAGATATTGTCATCGTTGTTGCTAGGTTAACGTATATTTTAGCTCCTTTTTTATTTTGTAAACTTTGGCTCTGGGTATATGTATGGGTATGGCGTTGGGTAGAATCCGCAGTTATTCTTATTCATGTACTATTGTATAAATCAACTAATTTGTGAAGTTCATTCACTATGCTTATAAAAGCATATGTTATCCTTGTGAGAAGGGTATCCTAATTTTGTATCTTTAAGTGAAAAAGGTGTACGTTACCCTTACTATAGGTAGAATTTTCTTCATCTTTGAAATTGGGCCTAGAACCTTAAAAGCCCGCTTTTTTTATGCTTTATTCTGAACTCATTCAAATTACCATTAATATTCTTCAGATGTGGTCTTAAATCAAACATGTTCTGTAGAAAAGTAGTAATACCTCCGTATTTTATTGTTTGCAAGGGAGGGGTATTATTTCTGAGACGGGATAATTCTTTTGTTACAAGTAATGAGAAACGGAGGTAGAATTACCATGGATTTGGACTTGACTTTTTGTGATTCATTTTCATCACCGTCATTGCTGTAAGTTCTATGACTAACACAACTTATAATATAAATCAATTAATCAAATATCAACCTTTAAATGGGATTATTATACGTATTATTGATTATGGAATAAATGTCAATATTTTCAACGAAACTATGCTCAATAAATTGGGAAAAGATGATAGTTCATATTCTTCATAAATGGTCATCACGCGTGCTCAAATATTCCTCCACTATTGTTCATCGGCTTAAATTTGATTGCTCTATGAGGAATGTGGAATTTAATTTTTCTATCTGATTAAATATCAGTGAAATATGAAATAATTGACCAAAGGACTATCAGTTTTTTTTTTTTTTTTTTTTTTTTTTTTTTTTTTTTTTTTTTTTTGGGGGTGGGGGGGTGGGGGGGACTATCTGCTCATAATTTGTTAGTCGCACATAATTTGTTAGTCGCATATAATTGTTCGCATTTAAAACTTGTTTTTTCTTGGAAATTAATTAATACACTAGTTAATAGCTATGGTTATTCTTTTCCTCAAAAGTAAAAAAGCTATGGTTATTCTAGTATACTTTGTTAGTATAGTTTTAGAGGTTAATATACTCAACACCTTAAATTGAATCGTGTTTATATTACTATCTTTATTATTATTTTTTTTTAAAAAAAAAAATCAGGTTTACATTATTGTACGTCTATACTTTAAGACTCTCATAGTCTCGTATGATCAAAATAATAATTACTTAAAGCGTTAGTATATAATGACATAAGGCGCAGTACCTTAAGTGAAGAAAGTCACATGCTATCTCTTGTTAATGAGCATGACATTACACTATGAGCTATGACCAATAGATGAGATTATGCATGTCTAATCTATATTAATCACAAAAATTATCAATTGATGTAACTTTATAGAGCTAATCTTCATTAGTCACAAGAATCATTTTTTATAGTTAGGTAGTCATTTTCACAATTAATGTATGTGCTTATTTAAAGAGTGAGCTTAATTCTCTTATCGTTACTATTATGTTGTCGTTTCATAGTTTGCTGAGCCATAAGTAAGTTTTTCTTACCGAATTTGTACTCAAAATTGTTCAAGAAGAAATTGGAAGAAATTGAGAACTATATTAGTCTTAAAAGTAAAATATTTCCAACACAATAATATGAACGTGTCATTCTTAGAAAAAGACGGTTTATATTACGTTAGATCACATTAATGAAAGGGTTGATTGACTTTTTCTTTGGATTGGGTATTATTTAGTTGTCACACAATTGTTGTTTTAATTAATTTTGGACGGTAACTCATTTTAGTGACACTTAAACAATTGTACAATACTTAGTTTTATATAGTGCGCATAGAGCTATTAAAGGACAAATGATATGAATAGTTTTGATTTTAATTAAGCGTTAAGTATCATCTTTGACATCTCTGAAATTTTAAACTAATTGACATTTACTATATACACTCATCTTATAATTTTGAACTAAACGATATATCTTTAACATACAAGGTTAGTTTGAAGATATTCATATATCTATATTTTAAAATAACAAATTAGCTAGTAATAGTATGATTACATGTATTAAATCAACCCTTCAAAATAGAAATCCAAAGTTTTCTTATGCAATTGCTTATAGTAGAACTTAACAGAAGAGTAAGAAACTTTAGTTAAGAAATGTCTTCTTTATTATTATATCATCCATTCACTATTTTTTCGTACTCAATACTCCTCTATAAGTCTATAGATTATATATAGTTGCTATTATATGGAAATTAAAATAAGAATCCAACAAAAAGAAATAGTTAGTTTAAGCTAATCATAATAATAATGATACAATGTTGTTTGATTAATCAATGCGTTACACATACTAATATACTCCGTAATAAGCTGAATTAGTGTTAATATGTGTACCTATGTTGCTGTCTTGTAAGTCACTTTTAGCATAAGTCCTCTGATAGCCTTTTATGTACTTGTTGAATTGTAAAAATTTGTAAGTGCATCAATAATTAAAGTAAGCTGAGTTCATTTATAAAGTTTGTTTGTCTAGATTTCAGTGTGCCTTTCTTTGCTTAGCTGGTAGCAAGGGCCCCTGTTTGAGGGATATTTATTAAATCCGACCTTTAGTGAAACCCTCAAGGGTCATCCTTAGGGATATACTTGTATTTCAAGAATGATTTTAGTGAAAATTTTAGATTTAAAAGTCGGAGAAATAGCTAACTGTTAGAAAAACTAAACATGTTATGTCTCTAAATTTTGATAATATAGTTTGATCGAAGTTAACAAGAAGGAATGATTTTGTAAACTTGAGAGAAAAAGAAGGTTAATATTGTACTAAAACTAACTAGTGATAGTACGAGTAACTCCTCTATCTTAATGATAAAGTGTAACCGTCTCTTTTTTTTTTTTTTTTTTTTTTCTCTCTAATATAATCTGAAAATACTCACAAGTGAGTTTGCGATAGGTTTTAACACATATGGAGTTTTGAAATTCAAAGTTTAATAGTCCGATCAACATCGATTTTGATAGTTGCAATCTACATTCAAGAACGAGCTTATATCATTGAAACTTTTTTAAAAACGAAAATTCTATATAATTAACAATAAGAAATTATAGTGGGATTAATTTTTAAAGGATATTCTAAATTTCAACATCACCAACAATAAAAGAAATCACTTTATCTTATAAAATAAAAAGAAAGTCCCATCTTAAACAAGGGAAACAACACATTTCTCCGTAGAAGAATTAAAAAAAGGATTGTTTAAAAATTGAGAATGATTTGTTAATCTCAAGTGGTTGGATTAGGTCTTTCGTGGGTCCAAGAGATTCCACCTTTTTTGTGATTAATAGGATATTTTAAGAGCAATGATAGTGACAAAAATTATTCTAACACCCGACCAACTTACCAAGGAATTGATCGATTGAGATTTTTAAGTCAAGAAAATTCGCATGCAAAAGTTGAATCACTTGTACGTATAGCCGTATAGGTCCTCCTTTGAGTTAAAATATAGTAAAATTCCTATGCCGGATATATGATCTCTGTTCGAGATTAATAGTCATATGTACTAATATAAGTGACTTAATATATAGTTTTGAAAATTTTCGCTAACTCTACCATTTATTTGTTTTCCATAGTTACATTAGTGAAAAAAAAATAAAATTAGAAAAAGAAATATCTTGCTCTAGGCTATTAGATAACAATTTAATATATTTAATTTCCTATAGAGTGTGCATGTGAAAAATAGGAGTCAATCGATGTAATAAACGTCTATTTCTATATAACATTTTCACTTTTAGTCATTTTGATAAATATTCCGAGACGTTTGTTAGTTTCTAAAAAATACCCAAAAGTTATACATATATATACTGAATTGAGTGACAAAGAGAGGATGGAAATACTTAAATATATAACACAATTATATATATCATGCATCGTGATTTTGTAAGATAATATCATATACTTAATTATATGGGTGTTTGAATAGAGTGACAACCAACGACGACGAAGGGAGTTTGTTACAAACTTACAAATATATACTCGCTGTACTTTGTAATACAGTTATTTGTAACAAAACCCCAGTTTATATAAGGTCAAAACCTTTGTGTTTTCTAGCATGAGATGATGATGTCAAGGAATTAACTGAACAAAAGTATAAATGTGTGATGTTTTAAGTTGTGGCCTTATTAGACGAGTTTGGTTATTTCAAATCAAGTATGTTGGTATCAAATGTGGAAAACATTAACAATATGTTTTTTATTTATGGATAAGAAATGTTATATTATACAAGTATCAAACTTTGTTTCTCACAAACATAAAACATCAACTTCTAATCGAATTTGTATATTGGAGATCATATCATAGAATGCCAAAAAAAAAAAAAGAAAAAAAATAAAAAAATAATCAAATATATTTTAAGAATGGAGGGTAGTAGATATTTTGATAGTAATGTCTATTTGTCATTATGTTAATTAGCAAATATACTAATTAGAAGTTTGAGAAGATATTGCGTTAGTCCGGACTGACGAAATGAATATCCACAATTAGCTGGATGATATCCACTATTAGTTGGATGATATCTGGCTATATGATATCATCTCTATATGACATATCATGGCTGGATGATATCATATAGCCAATAGAGGATATCATCCAGCCATGATATCATATAGCTAATAGAAGATATCATCTAGCCAATGAAAGATATCATAGACACAATCATAAATGATATCATATCCCAATAGAGAATATCATCTAGTCATGATATCATATATCCATTAGAGGATATCACCACCCAGTAGAAATATTATCAAGCCAATAAATGATTTCATATAACCAATAAAGGATATTATCTAGCAAGGAGAGATATCATCCAACCAGTAGAGAGGGTATGATCTAGCTAATTGAGGATATTAAAATCCGCATTTCGTCAATCTGGACTGACATAATAGTTTGTGTTAAAAGTTTATGCATAAATATAGTTTTATTTATCATGCAATACGTACAACAAATAAAATATCCTTCCTACTACTATGAGAATCTATACATAATGGCATTTTTGTTTTGTCAATGAGTTCATCACAAGCTTGATTCTGAAGAATCTCATAGATAGCTAGGTTAATTAATCAAGCTATTTTAACTTTTCACCATCTATGTAACTTTTCCCTAAATACCCTAATCACTAGTATAATCCTTGGTCAAACACCAATTTTCAACATTTATTAATTTTATAATTTTTGGATCTTATGTCTCCCAAAAAATACCGCCCTTTTCATATATTATTTATATAAGAAAAGTCGATCACATTTTCTATACATATAATAATACTACGTACTTTGTAATATCTTTATTATTATTACTATTAATCAAGTTGTAATTAATTACACTTCTGTAAGAACTTAAGAAGTACGGTTAATAATGATTATAATGTTTAAGACTGACCATATATTAAAAATTGGACTCTACAACATGGACTACCCTACAAAATATGTATAAATTGAATCGCATATATTTATACAATTATATATACACCTTGATTAGTACTCATATAATATAAATACAAATCCTAACATTCTACAATTTTGCAGTTTTCATGTACTCATTTTGTAATCTTGCTGTTATCACATTCGTATTATAATTATTAATTATATTTCTAGGTCTAGATGCATATGGAGTTGCTTTGTTAGTAGGGTTGTTATACCTTGGGCCCCGTATAATACCATAATATATATTATTTTTATAATTAAAGATGAACCATATTATATGATTTTAATCGATTGATAGACTTGAGATTTAGTTGTTCAATAATATAAAATTGACGACCTTGTCAAGTGAACTTATACCTAAAAATTCTCTGTCATTTCTATTCCCAAATATTAAACAAATGTTGATTATTTTAGTTAGGGTGGTAGAAAACAAAGGAATCTACCAAGGATTTTTCTTTCCCGGAGTATATAGGAATTGAACTTATTGAAGTGATAATTGTTTGGATTTATATTGTCAATTTTTCAGGTGAAATGTTTTATCAATATTGAGAGTAGTAATAAATTCTATGAAATTTTTTAAAAATTAAATCGAGGAAAATTTTGTATATCTTAGCTTAGAGTTTTATCTTTTGTACAGCTCAACAATCAATCCTGATGAATCTGGTCCGAAGTTATCGAGAATTTGAAAGTTTCAATTGGATCCACTATATATACTTCATATATAATATATAATACTCCGTAGTAATAATTTTAAGTGTTACATTATACGGAGTATTGCATACATAGAGTTTAAGCATAGCGCAAAATTAAGTAAAATCTATATTGGAATTATCCACTCTTACTCATCTCACACTAGCACATTGATATTTTTTTTATAAAAATAAATAAATATATAAATAAAAATAAAATAAAACAATAAACATCATTCATATTATGTTTACAGCTCTTAATTTGATATATTTAGGACAATTAAATTCATGACAGTAGCCTTAATTTAAATGCAAATATGCAATAATCATTGACATAAATTAAACTACATTTGTACAATTAAATTAACACCTCAATTTCGACAACATTAAGACAAGTAGTCATCGCATGATGTCACAAGAGTTAAGGAAAGTAACCGAAACTTAAATGAGACATGCCAATAGAAAGAAGCTGACGGAAGAAATGTAGGCTAATATAATGCTTCTATTAATTAGGAGAAACTAAGTTTGTACTAGCTAATTAACGAGATATGATTTAGTACGAGTCTTTATTTTAGGGTGTTTTTTCAAACTTTGATCACCTTCGCCAAAATACTTAAGTTGTCGAATTTGAGTTTCTTACAAGAAAAAAAAAAAAATTATAACACATGTCAATGTTTGTAGTTGAGTCGAAACTAGTATCATCGAATACAATTTCTCACACATATATTATGTTAATTGAATTATCATAAGAATCATGAAAGATGGTTTAATTAAATGTTCAAAATTTTTTAAGTAATTCGTTTGATCGTGCTCAAAATTTGTTACTAGTATGAGTAATTTCATCCAAGTGGTTTCGATATTCCCTAGCAAATCCGTTGTCAAGAAGACTTATTATGTGCCACATGTAATTATTACATGGATAATATCTTTATTGATTGAAAAACATGCGAAATTTTACATATTTTAAGCGTTTTTTGACACATATTTTTAAGAATAAGAACTGTCACAATCTAAATTCCAAGGGTTGGCTGTCAAAAATTAAAAAATAAAAAATTCTAAGGGATAAGATCCTAATATATGAACAAGTTCCTGAATTGAACAATAATTTTTGCCTTGCATCTGGTTAATTCTCTGAAGTATATATGTAATTCACCACATTACAACAATATAATATTCCAAACAATTTTATTTTATTTTATTATTTTTTTTTTTTTTTGAGATCGAACATAATCTAAGACTTTATTCGATTTAAGTTATTTTCACTTATTTTAAAAATTTACAATCGAGACTAAATTTAAATTCAAGGAAATGAGAAAGGTTTAAATAAGTTCAAGGTTGATGCATGATGAGAGTTATCGATGTTCAACCTACAACTAGATTAAGTTCGATTAAGTTTTACAAGTTCAGAATAATTTAGCTAAATTCTATATAATTGAAATCGAGTGAATGGAAAGCATTCGAATTAATAGCTTTTTGATTGCATGTCTTAAGACTCTTGATTATAATCCCACTTGTATTTATGCTTGAATTTTAGAGCTGTATATAGTGATTTTTATGCCAAAACAAATTTTCTTTAAATGAGTCAATATCCACTATTAAAAAGAAAACAAGAAATTTCCTTTAATACGATCACATCAAGCTAAGGTATCTTCATGCATATGTCAATTAGGGTTGTGTATGATTCTTCACCTGAATTAGTGCGGTTTAAATCTTCACGCATAGTTTGAAAACTTTCCGAAATCCAATTTTATTTAAATTTAGTACAAATAATCCAACGTAATCAAAAACATTTGACGCCTAGAGTATACATTTAATCATTTTGATATTTAGCTTTTTAGTTTTCATTTGTTATAAAATTGTCACTTGATCGATCAAATAATCAATAGATAAACATTTTTATGTTTATCAAGGTAAAAGACTTCATTTTTTTTAACGTGGGATATATAACTTGTCCCACATTAATCAGAGAAGACTAGAAGAGTAATGATGATTTATACAAGTAATATTTCCTCTGTTTCTTTATAGTTGACGTGTTTCTTAATGCATAAATTCAACCATTAATAACATTAATTATTGATGAGCAAAAATTATAAAAAGTTGATAAGTTTAAAAGTATATATTGTGACGTAACTAATAAAATCTCACATGACTATATTTTTCATCACAAACACGGTTAAAGAGAATTGTGTGGAAAGTATTAAAGTCAAAACGTGTCAACTAAAAAAAACGAAGGTACTATAAAGTTTTGGGCTATGTACACCACCTATAACTAGCTAATTGGCATTAGGATGGTGAAACTCATTAACACTTGGTCCAAAACTTATTCTCATTAGGTGATGAGTGAGATGACCCAGACTTATTAAACCGTTAATGAAACTTAAATGGTATCAAGCACAAATTGGTTGTTAAAACTAATGTTTGATAACTTTTTAACAACTCACATGTGAGAATCAATGTTAAGATCAAATGCCCAATTTATGGGCAATAAAACTAATTAATGCTCCATACATAAAGACCAAATTGAAATAGTTTGTTCAACACAACAAACTTAAATTTAAAGTACCTAAAAAAAAATTGAATTTCTTTGTAAAAAAAAAATGAAAGTGAATGCAAAAATAGTTAAATGTACTATGATATGATGTAAATAAGCATAAAATCCCCACGATTGGGAAACTATTGTATTCAAAGACAAAAGTAAGTTAAAACAAAATTAAGAGTAAATTTAGAAGGTAAAAGTAGTAAAAATTTAAGCAAAGATAGCAAAGCAAGAGAGCAAGTAGTAAAGGTAGTAAGGAGATGATGTAAGAAGAAATTGTCGTCAAGTGTTTGGGAGGGAGTGAAGCTGCCCTTTGCCCTTCAGCAATGTGGTCCCCACTTACCCCACATACGACACTCTTTGCTGCGTGAACACGGAGAGCATCCAACACCCCTCCTCACATTTCCCATCCTTATTATTTCTCTCTTATTATTTGTTTATTTAATTAATTAATGTAACTCATCAATTAATTACTTGTCTCTTATTTTAGGAAATATATCTCATTTCATTAATACATAGTAATATCGTAGATATTGTATACAAACAATCTCATTTGTATTTTGAATTGAATCGAATTGTATGTAAAGAGGAATTAACTTAATTGATGAATGGATCAAATTAAAAATTAAATAAATTAAGTTCAAATAAATAAGATGTAAATTGGTTATGTGTATACATGAGTTTTTAAGTTGTTATTTTTTCTAATTTTGTGGATGTTGCCAACTTGCAATATTTGTGATTGATAGATGTTTCCTTATACGACAAAATGTTGCAAAATATATAGAACGGCAGAACTGTGGGAATACAATTTTAGTGATGTGATTTACTAAGTTAATTATATTTATTTGGATTATGCCAAAGGTATGGTATATAGAGGGTGGTTGATAAAAGGGTGACTTAACTTTTCTTAATTAATTAAGGGTAATAAAAACGTTTAGTGACACGTGTTTTAAACCTATCATAACTGATTCGTTGACCCTCTTATAGAATCACCTCAAAATTTGACACCTCTAAACAATTGTTAGCAAAACGGTTCACACAGACGACCTTGAAAAATAATAATATATGTAATGTGTTAGTAGAAGTAGCCACAATAGCTGTATTATTGGAACATGTAAGAACTGTTAATATGTGTTACTAAAGTTGATATCAATGTCAATATCTTATTTCTTGATTCGTAACATTACTTACCATCTTATATTAGATGATCAATCGACTCAATTATAATACATAATAATTTGTGCATTATTTAACTTACTATATATACTAATATGATTTCGTACTCTCAATTTCACTAGAAAAATGTCTACATAATTAAAATTATGAAACTAGCTCACAAAACTTTCAATTCATATTTTACAAATTATCAATTATTTGTACTTATACCACTAACAGTGACATTTTTTTTCTTTTTAAATCCCAATCCAAAAATCAAAATCTCGACCAATATTATCATGGAAAGGAAATTTCCAGCAATTTAAATGCAAGTGGAATGGTTAGCTAGCTTTAAAAAAAAAAAAAAAAAACAACTAATCAATCAAATATAAGATAAAAAACCTTCTTTTTTTTTTCCAATTATTTATTTATTTATTTTTAAAAAAACTATTCCATTTCATGGGTTGATTCTATCTCTTTCTCTATGCATCTTATTGTATCTCCCTTATTTTTCATAAAATTTCAAATTCTCTTCTCCTTTTTCTCTCTCCTCTCTCTTTCTCTCTCTTTGTCACTCAAAAATAAAAATCTCTATCCATTTCCCTCTCATCTACTCTCTCATACACAAAACTCACAAACCCCATTTCTCTTTTTAGGGTTCCTCATTAATTAACCTCTACTAGTTTTTAAAATCGCGTATTTTGGGGATTATTTTGATATCAGTTATAATTCTCAAAATTAAAATTGTAAGATTTGCATGTGGGGTGGATAGGATTTAATTCATCCTCCCCTTTCTTTCTTCTCTCTCTCAAATAGATTATATATTGGATTCTCTCTCTTCAACAAGTTCATACAAACACTAGATACATAGCTACTCCATCCAAAAACCATAACCAAAACCACTATTATAAAAAATAAAAATTAATTAAAAAAATAATAATCTTAACAAATGGCGGCATCTTCATCCTCTTCGGCCTTCTTCGGAAGTAGAGAGGCCGATGTGATGAAGCTCGCGCATCATCAGCATCAACCCTCGCAACCACCACCTCCACCACCAACCCAAGTTTTGCAAAATCAACATTCGTCCGCGGCCGTGCCGCCTCCACCTTCGTCATCAGGAGCACCTCCCGCTAATCCTCAACAAAAGAAGAAGAGAAGCCTTCCTGGAACACCAAGCAAGTGTTAGCTCCTAAAACCCCCAAATATAATTTTATGAATTATTATTTGCTCACTATTTTTTTTTCCTCTCTATTTTTAGTTATATATGTCTTCAAGTGGTTTTTGTCTATTCCTTTCTTTTTTTTAATTTATTTTTTTAAGGAAAGAATTTTTTCGAAAAGAAAACCCTAATTTGTGGAAGCTTCATGACAAAGAAGATGTGAGAAAAAAAAAATTGAACATGGATTTTTCTTCTCTCTTTTGTTCATTTCTGAATAGACTTTATCTACTACTAAACACGAACTTATATATATACATACATATACACATATATATACAACATTTATATATCTTGTTGTACTTATTGTATGTTAGTTTGTGTTGACAATGAAAATAATAAATCTCAATGAATTAAATTTTGTGTTTTTATTATTTTGGATCGTTTCCATCTTTTTTATAGATGAGTTACTACACACACAAAAAAAATAATTACGGGTAAGAAATAATTTTATGAATTATTGTACTTCCGTCGTCTCTAAAACTGAATTCATTTATTGTAAAGTTTTGAGCGATTAATTGATAAAAGCTTTGAGGATTATTGATTACGATAATAATAAATAATAATTGTGATGATCAGATCCGGATGCGGAGGTGATAGCGTTGTCGCCGAAGACGTTGATGGCAACAAATCGTTTCATTTGCGAGGTATGCAACAAAGGATTTCAAAGAGAGCAAAATCTACAACTTCATAGGAGAGGGCACAATTTACCGTGGAAGCTTAGACAAAAGACTAACAAAGATCAAGTGAGGAAGAAAGTGTACTTGTGCCCTGAACCCACTTGTGTGCACCATGACCCGGCTCGTGCCCTCGGCGACCTCACCGGGATTAAGAAGCATTACTCGCGCAAGCACGGCGAGAAGAAGTTCAAGTGTGAGAAATGTAGCAAGCGTTATGCTGTTCAGTCTGATTGGAAGGCTCACTCTAAAACTTGTGGTACTCGTGAGTATCGTTGTGATTGCGGCACTCTATTCTCTCGGTACGATTTTTTTTACCATCCTTCTTTTTTCCGTGTTTTTAAATAACAGGTCACATTTTTTTTTAACTCTGATATGAGTATGACCATTTAAAAAAATAAAAACAATTAATGCTTAAGGTTGACTAATTTTGACTTGGAGTCATGAAATGTGACTTAATTCGTACAATTCTATTTAATTTTATTTAGGCTATAGTATGGTTTATAAATGTTATTGAATGTTGTTGTTTTGGTATTATTTGAGTGCGTGTTGTTGAGAGTATATACGAGTTATGAAATTCAGTGCATTAGCATATTGTTTTTGTTGGTGTGTGTTTTTGTTTTTGGGTTAAAATTAGAAAAATACTATGGATTAAGTGAAAAAAGCAAAGAAAATGCAGGTACTTATTTGACAATATATGAGTTTGTTGTAGTTTTCTTGAGAAAATAAAAATGGCTGCTGATGATGTGCTGTTGTTATTCTTGTTAGTTTTTTTCTTTTTTTTTTCTCTCTCTTCTTTATTTTTCATTGAAATTCTGGGTCAAGCTGTTTTAAAGTAAAAATTAACATTCAAGTACTAACAGAAAAGGAAGATGAAAGAAAAAATAAGAAGAAGAAAACGCCACCACGTGAATCCATACACGAGTCGTTTTTCTGAAACCACTATGCCATGTAATAGCTACTAGTCATGGCTAGCTTTTTGTTTTTCTTTTTTCCTTGTTTTATTATCGCAATAATTGAGTTTTTACGTGAGATAAAAAAAAAAGAAAAAAATATATATAATCGTGTGAGGTCTTGTTAAATTAGTGTTACAGTGTATTTTCAAAAATCAAATTCTTGTTTTTTAATGTAAATGTAATTGAAGATATTAACATTACGGTTTATTATATGTTTTGAGATGCATAAAACTTTAATTGTTACAATAATAAAATAACGGAAAAAGTATTAAGTAATTAAGTATTAACCAATGATGTAAATTAAAGCAAAATAAATATGAATCTCATTGCATTATTGGACCGTCACAACAAATTTCTGTTGCAAAATTATTTACGATACATTTAATGAAATTACACGAGTAATCACACTATTAAAACGATTAAACATGTGAGAATATCCAAACGGATGCTACTTTTATTTTATTCGGTGTATCTGAACGGATGCTACTTTTATTTCTTGGGTGTATCCGAACGGATGCTACTTTTATTTCTTTGGGTGTATCCGAACGGTTGCTACTTTTATTTCTTTGGGTGTATCAGAAAGAATTCAGCTTTTATTTCTTTTGATTATTCTCTCAAACCGTACATTATTAGTTTTTTTTTTTAATCATTTAAGATGCTCTAATTTTGATTTTAAATATTGCAAAAATAAAAGAACATAAGAAATGTTACATTATGTATTAATTAAAAAAAATGTAGATTAAAAGAAATTTTAAAATGAATTACATTGGGCTGTGACTGAAAATAAACATCTGTTACAAAATTTATTTAAATTTTTTTGAGGAAAGATATGTTACAAAATTATTTACTATACATTGAATGAAATCACAAGAGTAATCGAGTGTATCCGAACGGACTCTGTTTTTATTTCTTTGGGTCGTGTATCCGAACTGATTCTGCTTTTATTTCTTTAATTTTATCCGAACAGATTCTAATTTAATTCTTTTTTTTATTTCCTTAGACTTGGTCCTTATGTTTCACTCCCTAGGATCCTTTTCTTAATTATTTTTTGGTCTAATAAAAAAAAAAAGTCATTTTTACAACATTAATCAATAAACTTTTATGCTAACTACATGCTCAAATACTCCAATACATTTCACTTTATAAAGGTCGAACATGTTAAAATGTGTGCAAAAGGTTAAAACCAAACTTATTTAAAAAGTTGTAAAGCTAGGTAAGAGTATATAACTTTATAATAATAATAATAATAATAATAATAATAATAATAATTCGTATAATTATACTGACGCCGCCTCGAAAAGTACGCCACTGCCCTAATAGTAGTCGTCGTTTGATCCCTATTCACGTGTTACAAAGAGAGAGAAAGAAGGGGTTAGTTGGTTACTAAGTTTGTTGCGTTATGGGTTGGCTAGATGTGATCACTTCACCCCTGCAGGTACCCCCTTTTCATGATAAAGTTACCATCTTCAATTCTTTTTTTTTCTCTCTCCTCCAAATATAATTGTACTAGATTTATAGATAGAATGACGCTTATTGTAGTAAAATAGACACTTCACGAGTTTTACGTATGATTTTAATTCCCAACACGTACATATACACAATCTCGCTTAGCTAGATGAATAGACAGGTACCACTGACATTTTTAGAAGGTAACGTAGCTTGTTTTTGTTATTTTGATATCGACACTCTAACTACATTAACTTGTATTATTACTTGTGTGATTATATCGTGTTTGAACGTATGTGTAATTGAGAGGTCGTCACTTGATGATCGTCAGTCTTACTAGCTATGGTAGTAACGTAGTTGTATAGGGAGGTTGGGCTGATGAAAACTATACTGAAATACATTTATTATTATTCATGGTCGTCTTAGGATGGAGGGACTACATACGTTCTCCTCTTTGATTGATTTTCTTTCACTATAATGAAAATATTCTCTACTTGCATTTATTGGAGGGTCAGTCCATAATTTGGTAATCTTTTGTTGATTGATTATAAACTCTGTTGCTATTCCATCTTACTTGAATTTATTGCACTGATTTTCCCTCTCTTTCAAGTACTCTGAGCAAAACTGTGTTGTACTTGATGTTTTTTTTTTTTTTAAATTTTTTTTTTATTAATATACTTGTATGAAGAAATTATTTTTTCTACAGTATAATTTTTCAATATATGTCGGTATTTTTTTGGCTATAATCAGTACGAAATTTATTTCCTTTTATGGTTATAAGTAAATAATAATTAATTCGTAGTTTGTGTATTTTCATGTGAACATCTTAATCAGTTGTGATTATATAAATGTGTCCATTATTAATTACTTAAGTGTCCAATTTTGCTTCCTATTTTGAAATTTCATGAAACTATTGAGTGCCTATTGTACTTTGGTTAAAAAAAAGTACTTAGAAAATCCATATTTTTGGTAATAAAGTATGCTAGAAAATCTCAAGGTATTAAACCCTTTCACACTATAATTTAGTCATTTTGCTAAAAATGTGATTTTTCACGTTAGAACACATTTAATGTTGAACATTTTTTGTAACAACATTGAAATTATTGAGAAACACTTGTAATTTAATTTGAATTAAGATTAAGAAAATGTATGAGAACACATTTAAAAGACTATATCAAATTTCAAAATTAACATAAAATGATACATAGAGTAATTGGTGAAGTGCTAAGATAAATTAGCTCTAGTAATTTTTATTTGGCAATTAACAATCAATACCATATGATTTATAAACAACATCATTAATGCATAAACTCACTTATTGACTAGCAACATGAATTCTTTTAATTAATACAAGAATGAAATTTTACAGCTTAATTATTGGACAATTGATTAGAAATTACCCCTCCTTAATTGTATCTTAAGGTTAAATCTTTATAAAATGTTAACAAATGCATTGAAGACTATATAGTTCACATGTTGTACTAACTTAAAACAATACATGAAAATAAGCTGATTAAGTGATAATAAGATAACAAATCGAATTGTATGTTTTAATGTTTAAGTCAAGGCTAATTACATACCTTAATATAAATTTGATTACATTATCAATCAATATATAGTACCTTTGTTTTATATTAATTGCAAAAAATTAACATAAAGTGTGAGTATACAGTATCTAATTTTATCACTGTAAATAATTCAAAACGGATCGGAATTAGTAGCTTACATTACATATTACAAAGTGAGTACAAATTATTGGAGTATATGTGTTAAATAATTTTGGTGACACAATTTGACTAGCCATCAAATTCTGTTACACTGGACTCTCCACCTAAAACTCTAAAAGCTAAGATTTGGAATCTGAAAACAAGCTAGCGGTCACAAAATAAGTCAATCTAAAGGAGAACCTAGGTACTCTCATTCGATGACACCATTCATGACAAACATGTACTATATATGGTCACATGTTATGATATGTCATACTTAGCTATAGTACTATTATACTACTACTACTCCTACTATTATGCTACTTGTACAACTATATTTGATGCTTTCACTTGGATTAAAGCTGCGATACTTGTGTATACGACTAAAATTATTTACCCCTTTAATCGCCAATTATTGCTATTGTGGGGATTCTGTTAATCGGACATATAATGTAATGTAAATGGATTTTAGGTATTCTAATATGTGTCATTATATTATAAAATGTGATTATGTTGTGTTTAATGTTCATGATTAAATTTTGTCATTACAGACGGGACAGCTTCATAACTCATAGGGCGTTTTGTGATGCACTAGCTCAAGAGAGTGCAAGACATCCAAGTAGCCTATCCACCCTAGGAAGCCACTTATTTGGACCTACTTCCGCGGTTGGTGGTGGTAATGCCGGTAACAACAACATGGGATTAGGAGTTGGACTTTCTCATCAAGTGGGCAACCATCTTCCGGTGTCGCTTTCCGATCAAATGACCTCTGACATCCTCCGCCTTGGCGGTGGGGCCCGAGGTGTTGGGACCGGGCAGTTTGACCACCTCCTCGGGCCGGGCTCTTTCCGGCCACAAATGCAGCAATCTCATCAGGGCAACTTTTACTTGTCTGATCAAACTGGTGGGCCCAACCATTATGCTAATAGTAACAACAATGATCAAGAAAATCAGTCTCAAAATGCTGGTGGTGGAATCTTCTCCAACAAGCTATTCACCGGGCAGCTGCCCGTGCCCGACTTAGGGTTTTTCTCAAACAATAACAACAATGAGAACACCAACACCATCAACACTAATAGCACCACTGGTAGTGGGGACCACAATGGGATGTTCTCTTCTTCGGGTGGCGATGCCCTATTCGGCGGGCCCTCTTCTGGCGGCCTCTCTTCCCTGTACACCACAGGACCCGGCCTCCAAGGCGGTAGCCCCCACATGTCCGCTACCGCCCTCCTCCAAAAGGCTGCCCAAATGGGGTCCACAACCTCCACCAGCAATGCTAGTGCAACTGCCCTACTAAAGGGACTAGAAGCGAAACCAACACCGCAACAATCCGCACCACCGCCACCCCCAACAAGCGCCGGGGGTGGCGGGTTTGGAGGATTATTTGGAGAAAATGACCAAAATAACCTCCATGACCTACTCATGAGGGATAACCTAATGAACAACCCCTTCTTTGGAGGTGATCACCAAACTGGAGCAGCTAGTGATCACAATGGTAACTACGGGTTCAACCCGAATAAAACCGGGCTCGGTGTCGGATCATCAGACAGGCTTACAAGGGATTTTCTTGGTGTAGGAGAGATAGTGAGAAGCATGAGTGGTAATGGAGGAGGATTTCCTACAAATTCACAAGGCATGGCATCCTTAGAAAACGTTACAACTGCTGATCATCAAAGAAATAATAACAATAACAGTAATTCTGCAGCACCAAATAATAATAGTAATGTCAATAATACTGCTCCTTCAAGTAGCCAAGCTTTTGGTGGTGGTGGTGGAAATAATTTCTAGTCAATTTGGCAAATCAAAGAAAAAAAAAAAAATTTACGTCAGAAGTCAAGTACAGGTACGTAAATTCGTTACATTTTTATTACTCCGTAATATGTAGTATAATTCTTATGGTAATTTGTTACATAATTACATTATTAACATGATGATTTATTTTTACTGAAATAGAGTCGGTAGATATAATTTTTAAATTTTGTTTGGGACGTGAAAAATTATAAAAAGTGTAATTTAACGATGAATAATAATTATGTGATGATGACGGTCCAAAGGGGGTGGTCACTGCTTTTTTTTGGGGAGGAGGAGGAGGAGGAAGAAGTGTGGGCTATAGATTTGTTTGTTTTTTCTCGTGTTTTTGTCCCTTGGTTTTGTTGGTTTGTTTGAGTTCCTTTATTTTTATTCTCTTTGTTTTTTATTTTTAAAATTTTCTGGTGTGAATTTTTGGGTTGAGTCACGGGTCACGGAATATTATTTGATCATATAACAAGATTTTTGTGTTACTCAAAAATTAAATTTTAAATTTTTTAAAATTCTTTGTGGGTGCCACGCATGTGAATGTATTTTGCTCCATTAATTGAATTATTTGCCCAATTGCCCTTGTTTTCTTTTGAATAATATCTATGATTATCAATATTCAAATTTGTGAGAAATTAAAATTTATTAATAATATACTTTTTGAACACTAAGCATGTATATTAACCGACTTAAGATGAACATTTACATGTTAATTTAAGCTACATTAAAATAAGCAATTAAATTAAAACACCACAATATTTTTCATAATCTATATCTTTATTATGATCATAAAATTGATAAATTTATTTACTTATGATTAAAATAGTAAAGATTGTAGTAATTATATATCGTAAAAATTAATAAAAATAATGCTTAATCAATGTTTAATGGTCAGTGAAAAAAGTCAAAATTCAACTTACTACATGGTAAATTTTATGACTTAATCCGTCACATTCGGTCGATTTAAAATAGATTAACATTCTAATAATGTGGCCTATTATATAGATCGCACGTTCCTGATACAGCTTTAGAAAACTCAACTTTACATACAAACCCAATGAGAGTGTACATGTGTATGTTATGTAGTAGTATACATAAGAGATCAATAAATACCTACTACATGTTTTAAGAAAGAGAATGAATGTTGTGCTTTATTTGGTTAATCCAATTGCAATGTTGGTGAAAGGTTAACAGGAATCAACCTTAGAATAAAGTATAAATTACACGAATGAGTAAAAAGATGCTCTTTTTAATATTTTTTTCAAGGGAACATGTAACATCTAATATGGACCCGCTGAATAGGATTTGAACATCCACTTTTCCTTCCATAATTCATTGAGATTGATCATTGATGGCATGATTTATCGATAATGTTGTCTATTACTCCTAGATCTATTTTTGTCCTCTTAGATATTATTATCAGACCAATTATGAGCTCACAGTTTTTACTGTTTTAAATACAATAATTTAAAATAATGAGTAACTATTTTTCTCATTTTTTACTGTTTAACTCGACATTAGTCATACTCATACATTACATTTTTTGTAAATTTTTTTTGAAGCTTGTCAATTTGTCATATATTACCTATGGGGGAAAGACTCCAAATAAACATTATTGTCTTATTAATATTTTTCCTACACTACAAACAAACATTATGATGATATATAGTGATTATTTATGAATTAATCTTGGGGGTTATTGCTAATTTGTGTGCGGAGTACGTTTATAATGAATTATTATAATTCTTATATTTTGAATGTCGTAATGCTAATAAAATTAAAACAAGTAATTTTTCAATTACTTGACTTGTTTGCTTTTCATTGTCTAGAATAAAAAGGGTTAAAAATTTATGGTTTTGGTTCTTAAGATTATCTTTGTTGTTTGTGTATTGTGTACATACTCCATTATATTTAGTAAGCTTAATTATACAAGGGAGAAAGGAGGGTAAGACATGTTTTAACTTTATTGCAATTGTTTTAAAAAGGGGGGAGGGATGTTTATGAGATTAATTTAATTTGTCTTGATCATAAATTTTTATCTTTATGTCATTTATTAAATTGATCTTTAATTTATATTTGATATGCTAATTGAACATAAACATGTTATATACTATTTGTATTGTATGAATATACGGAGTATTAACTAACTAAATACTACGGACAGAGTATTAATTATATTAACACTAATTTTATATGGGATATTTTATAAGAATTTTTGTGACAAACTACTTCATACTAAGTATATTTTAGTTTTTATATGGTACCTTAAAGATAGTCTATCCTTACAAAATATCTGCTCTTTTATTTTTGTACTGCAGGAATTAGGTTTTGTTTAAAAAAAAGACAACTTTGCCTCCCATCTAAAAGAACTCAAAGTTCATATGAAGCTTTGTTAAAGCAATGCAAGTTAATTAAGATCGTCATTGGTTTTGCTAGCTGACTACCAAAATTCCATCAATAGATAGGCGACTGAAGTTGATGCTGAGGCTGTATGATGATGCGCATAAGAGAGGTGGATCGAGGATCAATCGATTTTTCGAATCGTTTTAGTTTATAGACTTAGTTTTGATAAATTTTATAGACTTTTTTATATATTAATTACCTGACTCATGTTTATGGTAAATGTGAATGAAAAATCTCAAATGTTTAGTAACATAAAGTAGAAGAGTACAATAACTTTGATCTTCATTCCAGTTGAGAGAATTTTTGTTCTGAAATCGAGTATCTTGAATATAGTTTTCAATTCTTGACATGTTTGGCATAAAATTTAATGGTTTCAGGTATTAGTAAAGATATTAGATGTTTTGTTAGTTAAGATATTAAATTAGTGATTTTATAATAAAATGAAATTAGAAAATTATAGAGGTGGAACTGAGGATTGAAATTAAAGGGGTATTGTAGGGGACTAGGGGGCTACTTTAATTTTGGTTATGTACTTAGTATTATATCACTAATTAAAATATGTATGTCAAGGATTGTCAACTACTAAACTTACTTGGTTTTAAATCTTATGGTTTAATGTTTATATTCGGCTAATTGCCATCTTTCTGTACTAGAACATTTGAACTTTTTTATTATACACCACATTTGGTAAATTGGCCCAATAATTAATCACATGCAATTAGACTTATTAAACATATATTAAAATTTCAAGTCAAGTGTTTCAAAATCAAGTCAAACATATATTAAAATTTCAGGATTGTAGGGGATGCATCACAGGTGACCATATAATGTTATTTGAAATCACATACGGCCATTAATCGGTTACATAAAACCATAAAGGCATGTTCATGAAGCTTTGAGTCAATGAAAAAGAGTGCACACGTATACATAAACGGTTGAATATACAATTTAAAGGGAAATTAGATGGTTCCAACCATGCATCCAAACAAGCTCTCGAGGTGTCATGGGGTCAATAGAAAGTGCCCTGACTTGTTTTCTTATTGGGTCCAGAAAAGTTAGAAATTTGTGCGAAACTTAAGGTTATATTCTACACTTTTGGACCAATTTTGAAAGTTTGGGGATCCGTTGTAGAAAGCTCTTAACATAGTAAGGGATGCAACATGGGGTCATATAATATTGTTTGGAATCATACACGACAACTAATTGGCCACATACAGGGCTCGCTGCGACCTTGACTTAATGGAGGGAGCTAAGACATAGGCTGTAAATGACTAAATTGATAGTTTAAAGGCAAAGTGGTTGACTCTAACTATCCAAATGGCCTCCTAGGGTTCATGGAAAGCACTTTGAATTTTTTTTTCAGGATTTGAAAAGGTAAAAGACTTGTAAAAAATGAAAGTTATATACAAAAATGGGACCAGTTTTAATTTAGAGATTTTGGGATTCGATGTCTAAAACTCACGAAATTGTAAGAGATGTATTCTAGGGTTATATAATAATATTGGAACCATGTTCTACCATTAGTCGGTCATATACAGTCTCATGGTGGCCTCGATTTTATTAGAGAGATGTTAGCCATAAAACGGATTGTTGCAACCGTCTAAATGGACTCTCAAGGTGTTTTGAAATTTGTGGGAAGCACCCCAACCTATTTCCTTTTTCAGTCCAAAATAGTAAAAATTTATTCGAAATTAAATGCTATAATACACAGTTACGAGTAGGGTCTTTTTTTTCAAAATTAAAGTAAATATGCAGGGTGTTTTCTTGGGTCATATCAGAGTAAACACAATGGTTGCCCATAACCATTATGGTTATCACTTATTTAATTAATTTCTCTATCTTCCACCTCATTATAACTCTTATACCCACTTAATAGCCAATGTAGCCCAATGGTTGATCATGGTTACACATCTTATCTCTCTTACTTTTACCCAACCCCACCACACAATCTTCCTCTTTCACTCAATGACCAAGCAAATTGGCCATACTATTTCACTCAATAACCAAGCTTTATAACCTGGTTATTTCCACAACCAGGTTATTGCCTTTTATTCCCAAAAATTTCTCTCTCTTCATTTTTTAATTATTTTTCCACATTCTCTCTCCCAATAACCATCCTGAATGGTTAACAGTTGGCTATACTCTCATACAAGTTGGTTTGGAGCCATAATATGTTTTTCAATTGGTGTATAAAGTCTAGAGAACGAGTTTGGTTCGGATCGAAGTGATTAATCACAGCTTAACAGGTTGGCTACAGTCATCGATCCCTAGCAGTAGTAGGCTGTTGAGTTAGTGTTATATCATGTTTAAAATGGATGATGAAACAAGACTAAAAGTTAATGAGTTAATAATTTGATCATGATGACTAGTCATGAAATTCATTCAGATGGACTAGTCATGACTGGATCATAAGTACTAGCTAGTAGCTACTGCTATGAATCTATTATTATTGATTATGATGCTATACATCCACATGGGACCGATTATGTTTTGTGACACATAACATAACATAACATATCAGGCCAATCAGTTTTGAGTTGTTTGTACAACTTTTTACCAACAGCCCAATTAGATTCCCTTCCAAAAGATTTACTCACACTAAAAGTGGAATTGCTTGATGACTTAATCATCAAACTCATGTTTTCTTACAAACCATAAAGTCGTTGGAGCTTCTAAAGTTATGATTCTTTCTTCTTTCCAACTTTTCTTAACTAAAAGCTTTATGTGACATAACATACTTTGGAATTTGATATATTTGACCAAGTTAAGGGCTTAGATGTACAATAAATAATTCTAATGTATTACTCCGTATTTTTAGGATTGTTAGTTAGGGTGGAGATATATATTGGGTGCCATCTTAGCTAGAATTGGTAAAGAATTTTCGGGTCTACATTCGGAATCGATATTGTTTGGATCTAATTTTTATTTCAGATTTTAGATCCATTTATCTAAGTTTTAGCTCATATTCCTGATTTTCTGAACCCTTTATTCACCACGTATTCAACAGGATTAGTTTTAAAATTAGATACTTATTTGTTATGTACTTCATAAAAAATAATTTGAGCAGGTCTCACTATTGAAACTTAAAACTTCTCATTTCTTGTTCCAATATTTTGGATTTTGTTCCATAAGTTATCACCAATACTTGATATTCCTCGTCCTTAGTTGATACTTGCTCTACTTCGATTATTCGTATTATTTGACTATTTGCACTACCTCACTTAACCAAGTTTTTAAGGACAATATGGTACTCCATGATTTGGTACCAAGAGGGGGAAAATGAGCAGGCCCAGACATCAGATACGTGAAGACAGTACTTGGTAGACTTGTCGTATAGCCCACACCTTATGGGCCTATTTAAGTAAAACAAAATATAACATGAAAACTATTGTAAAACCATCTAAAAGCCTATTGAGCCTTGTAAATGAAGAATTCGTCAAACCGTTTAGGTGTTAACTATGTGTATGTTTTTTCAGGTGCACTACTATGTAGAGCTGTCAATTCGGGTAAACGAGTCGGGTTTTGGTCGGGGAAGAGTGGGTCGGGTCAATTTGGATTAATTCCATAACCTATGCGTGTCGGGTTTGGGTCGAGTTTATGTCGGGTTAATAACAGGTCAGGTTACATTCGGATCGGGTTAAAAATAGGTCGGGTTAAATTCGGGTTTTCACAGGTTAAAATGGGTTAGGGTAATTCTCGGGTTCGAGTCGAGTTTGGTTTAAGTTAATAATTTGCAAGTTAGAATCAGGTCGGGTCATTCTCGGCTTTGAGTCGGGTTTGGTTCAAGTCAATAATTTGCGGGTTATAATCATGTCGGGTCATTTTCAAGTTGGGTCAATCTCGGGTTCAAGTCGGGTCCGGTTCAAGTTAATAATTTGCGGGTTATAATCAGGTTGGGTCATTTCCAAGTCAGGTCATTCTCGGATTCAAGTCGGGTTATGTTCAAGTCAATAATTTGCAAGTTACAATCAGGTCAAGTCATTTCCAATTTAGGTCATATTCGGGTTCAACTAAATATAAATAGATAATTATCATTTTTATCAAGCTAATTATTTCCTTCGACTAGAATATACATGGTAATATACTAGGGAACTATAGTCTATAATTTAGGAAGATAATTATCTCCTTTGACCATACAAAAAATAAATACTATATTTAACTCTTAAATTTGAGGATGATGCTCCTTTCTTTTGCTGGCCTAGACCGACTTGGTCTCCCTAGACAAAATGTTTTGATCAGCAATAATAAGGTGGTCTAAATTGCATTTAAGATGATTTGAAATCGGGTCAAGAATAATTTGGGTTGAATTCAAGCCGGGTCAATAACAAGTCGTGTTAATTTCGAGTCGAGTTAGTAACAGATCGGGTTGAATTTTTGGATCGGGTAAGCAATAGGTCTAGTAAAATTTGGGTCAAGTCAATAACAAGTCGGGTTTAATTTGGGTCAGGTCAATAACAAGTCGGGTTGATTTCGAGTCAGGTTTGTAATAGGTTTGGTTAAATTCGGGTCGGGTTAGGAACGAGTCGGGTTGAATTCATGTCACGCTAGTAACAAGTCGGGTTAAATTCAGGTTTTGACGGGTTGAAACGTGTTTGGGTCAATATAGGTTTAAGTCGGGTTCGGTGCAAGTTAATTAAATTGGCCGTTGTAAACCAGTAAATCGGTGCAAATTGTAATCCAGTAAAGTGGTCGTTTAAAGGCAAATTGGATGGTTCCACCCACCCAATTGGACTCCCGGAGAATATTAGGGACCATGATAAACATTTTGGTAATTTTTATTCCGGGTGGAAAAAAAAGTCAAAATTTTCCAAAATTAAAGAATGTCCAAGCTTTTTGAGAAATTTTGGAGGATTCAGGTCCCGGAGTCGCAAAGTCTTAAGATTTTAGGGAATACGTTTGGGGGTCATAAAATGTCGTTTGAACCATATATGATCATTATATATTGCCATAGATGTTCGTGTTAGGCTTGAGTTAATGAAATCGGTGCAAGTTGTAAACCGGTAAATTGGTCGTTTAAGGCAAATTGGATGGTTCCACCCACCGAATTTTACCCCCGAAGGTTATTGGGAACCATGGTATATATTTCGGCAATTTTTTTCTTCCAAACGAAAAAAAGTCAAAAAATTCCAAATTTGAATGCTAATAGCCACGCTTTTTGAGAAATTTTGTAGGTTTCAAGGACCGGTGTCGAAAAGACTTGGGATTTTAGGGGATACATCTTGGGGTTATATAATTCCATTGGAACCATATATGATCATTATATGTTGTCATAAATGTTCGTAGTAGGCTTGATTTAATGAAATCGGTGCAAGTATTAACCAGTATATTGGCCGTTAAAAAACAAATT